CTCTCTCTCTCTCTCTCTCTCTTTGCTATTGGCGGGCCTGGATTTGATGAAGCCGAGACCCAAGGTCGGCAGAGCGTCACAGACCAAGCCACCACTCCCCCCTTTGTCATGGCTCACACATGACGGGTTTACGTCGCTCTAGGAAAAAAAAGAAAAACAGCTGTCTGACGGCAAGTATTGTTTACCGCGGGGAGGTATAGAAAAGCTGGATAAGCGCTTCGCGAGGTTGAATTTCAGTGCTGGTGCAGTACAGCACCTAGTGAAGAGTTATTATACCAGCAAATTGCTGACGAAGAAACTGCAGCTCATGTCGACATCTCCAGAAAGTGAGACCAATCCGGCGGACACACTTTGAAGCTCACACAGTACCGGACGGAGGAGCTAATCAAAATAGTCCTTGATCAAGTCCTGAGGGAAAACTCTCGTACAAAGGACTTTCAGGAAACTAGCCGTAACGCCAGGCAAAAGGCGTTAGGACTTAGGTGCAGTACGCACAGGTGCTACATGCTAGCAGAAGCTATCACTGCGCTGAATGTACAAGCACCAGCGGCTCGCGAGGATGCTGATGAGCAAGTACGACAAGCGCAAGAGGCGATTTGAAAAAGGACACTGATTTGGTGTTGCCTTTTTGTCTCAAACAAAGCCGCATTATTGCGACGAACGGGGACAACAATTACAACCAACACACGGGCAGTTTCACTCAGCGTCTGAGCGGCAAGTTGACAGGCAGGCACTGCCTTTGAGCGTGATTCGAGAAGAGGAGAAGTGGAACAAGTATGAATGACCCGAAAAGTCAAAAAATAATAATTAATGATCGTCGTCAGCTCGGGAAAATTAAGAAAGTCGTTGCAGAAGAGGAAGGCTCTCGTTGGTCACAGCTCGTTCCTTTTCTCGGTAAAACTGCTCTTGGAGCAGAAATTTCATTAACCTGCTCAAGCTCAACTGATGAGGGGAGAAATCACCAAAACTCTGTGTAACGAGCAGGGAGCAGTGCTTTTTTGTAGGTGTGGCGAGTAGAAGGTTCAACGGCTTTCTCGTGTGGTCCAGACGCAGTCGTGAGTCATTCAAGTCAGCAGGCAAGAAGCACTATTTCCAACGTTCGGATCGGACGCTTTACTCACAGACTGTAAGCATAACTCTGTTCAAAGATTATAACACCCCATTCCCGAGTTACATTGAGCCATGGTGTTTTTGTCTTATGTTTGTGAATCCTTCCCGGAAGCAAATGCTGGTATTTATGCATTCGTGTAATTACTCAGCGTTATTTGCAATAATAGATATCCTTAGCTAAAAAAACGCTAACGTAAACGCAAACCTTTCCGTACTTGGGATCGTTCAAGCTGACTTTTCCCTTAGCACAAAGTACGTCATAGTTGAGACGAAGTAGTCGTGACAACCATGGCGATATGAATTTTCGTGGAAACAGGTGCGGGAAATTCAAAATTTTGAACCAGGGATTAGTTTGCTGTCGTTCCGAAAGAATACCTTGGCGAGTTCTTTTACTCTGGAATAGCAAAAGCACGGCGAAATGAGTTTTCGCTGTTCCCAGGTCCTTGGAAACCCTTTCCAAATTCCTAAACGCAGCACCGAAGACTGTAAGGGTTCTCCAGCTCCAGAACGTCTGGGAGAGGCCGATGAATTTCTTCCTCAGGAGTGCCGTGGAACTGGTCCTTTGTTTCCCAGATGGGATAGAGGGAGAAAGGCACGAAGCAGAGGACGCAGAAATTGTCAACTGAAAGGCAAAAGTCGCCAAAAAAGCTAAATGTCACAAGAGGAAGCAATCTCGACTCTCGATCTCATCTCGATCTGCACGACGTGCTATTTATCTCCCGCCAGTTACAAACCAATGCGAGTTTTTGCATTTTTTGCAGAATTTCCATTACGAACGTCGGCCCGTTATTTTGAGCTCTGTAACGTTTTTCCGTTATCCGATAACGTCTTTTGTCACGGCTGGGAGTGAGTACCGTAAAAGTTAGCGTTATCGTACTTTTGCTAAGGATGTCTAGTAATAGACACATAAGGGTGTCTAATAATAGACACCCTTAGCAAACAACGGTAACGCTATTTTTTTTACGGTACTCGTACCTTGATCACCCAAATAGCGTTGAAGCTGCAGCGTATAAACGTTATGGGGGCTGATTTATCGTTGTGACAAATGGTACTTGTTTTGGCCAAATATTGCATAGTCTTTACGTTTTCACCTTGTATTGCGTATATGGTGACAAAAATGGTTGTACCGCGCGAAATCAAAGTTATTCTCGTGGCAGCAGCGTACTAAAAATAGCGTGCATATTGCTAAAGATCGAACCCAAATCACGGTGTTTTCCCCCTTACGATAATACCGTTACAACATAACGCTTTTTGCTAAGGGTGTCTAATAATAATAATAATTCCCGATAATGACCCACGATTCTGCCTTGCGCCTCCGAGGTGTTGGTCGCGCTGGTAGCAGATCCCCAATCTTGCCGTGTAGCCCTGATGATATTTGGGCTGTGATCCTGTCTCTTTGTGAAATTTCAAACTATTCAATGTTGTCTTGCCTAGAGCCTTGGTACCCTCTTGCTCACATTTCCTGTTCCTATCTGCAATATTCATCCTTCAGCATCTACCAATAATTATTATAAGTTTGGGTTGGAATTTGTCCCTTTGTGAAATTTTCATACGATTCAATGTCGCCTTACCTAGAGCCTTGGTAACCTCTTGCTCACAACTGCAGTTGGTATTTGCAATTTTCATCCTGCAGCACCAATCAAAGTAGTCGCTTTCAACAGAGGAGTCAATGTACTGCTTGTTTCCACTGTCTTACACCCGGCAACCTACTTGTCTAACATCAGTGAATACTGCTTTACGTACGGACCAGCCCTCACTACAGACATCATTCATAAGGCAAACGGTGCGAATCGTGTGTGTGGCGCTGTGAACTTCGCTTCCCTCAATTGTTCAAGCAACACACTTTACAACATCTCAGCTTATGTGAAAACGGTGGCAGGACTTCACAGCTCAGCATCGGGATGGACTCCGTTTGCAAGTCGTCCGGAAAGTAAGCAAAAGCACCTATTCCCTGAGATAAATGTTTTCATTTCATCAACTTTAACTGATTCCACGTGATGGGACAGTGTCGAAGGCTTTTAAAGACAATGTGGAAAGGCCAATGCTGGGATGATGACTACGGCGTAGGTTAGTGGTAGAGGACTACTATATTGCCTGTGATGATCTGCTCTAAACGTAAAGTGCATATGGTTAACGTGGGACGAGAGAGTTTGGAAGCTCAGAGCCCTACGCTATGCTTTTTTGCCTTGATGACCTAGACAAAAAAAAGCATAGGGATGTTATAAATTCATATACATTTCTCCTTTTGTTTTAACACAAAACCTGGGATTCGAACCCGCACTATCGCCCTGCATGGATCCCCCGATACACTTCGCATACATACTAATACTTCCAGGTTGCTTCACGTTATGATCTTGCGTTTGAAAGCCCTATTTGAATATTGCGGCCAGCTGTATGTGGCCAGCTGTGTTTGACGGTACGGTACGGTACGGGACAGATACGGGATAGCGCCAGGCATGACACAAACACACAAACACCAAAATAAAGCTGTGTGGACCCTGGCTAGCGCCAGACGTTACTGAAGTAACGTCTTCTGCATAGCTATGGGAAGTAAACCTCTCTACTATTGCGCTGGACCATCGTGATTTGTGAATTCACCTCCCTCCGCCGGGCCCATACACATAACAATGCAACGTATCCAGGACATTGTTATAATTATTATATGCAGAGACTGACAGCTCTTCAGCCCTCCATATTCAGAGTTCTCTCGTCAAAGCATGACACTTGGCACTAATAAGGATTTTCAATCATCTTTATGTAAAATGGATAGCACCAAGAGAGATGTGGTTTACAGTGCCAACATGGAGATAACTCTAGCAATAATGATTAATCAAAGAACTTTATTGGACTAAGACCTTAAAAATATTGCAAAGTTTCCTGTAGTCAGAACAATATAATCCTGACGATTACTTCACTAGACGTGAAAATTGAGCGGACACTGAACGGGATAATAGTTAAAATAACTTATAATTTACTTATTCACTGTTTTGAGGGAAAGACACAAATGGGAAAAGTCTGAAGACAAAATTGACTGTCACCACCAGGACTAGAACCAGGAACCCTCGCTTGTAGCCAGCAATGCTCTAACCACTGACCTATGGTGTAGTCGTCATCCCAGCAGAGACCGTTCAACATTTTCATCAGATTTATATATTTTCTCTTGTTGATAATATTCAGTTATACACTATTCACTCTGGGCACTCTTGTTAATAGGAGTGAATATTGCATAGCCCTCCCTGTAGAGAAGTTCTGCTTTGGATAGCAATCAGAATATTTTTAACTACGCAGAGTATTATGTGAGTTCAACAAAGAAGCAACATGCATTTTCCCCGTTATCGAAAAAATCATACTTCGAGTACGTACAGTAATGATAATTTAGTTCCCATTGCCTCTCCTTTTTGTTTCAATTCACTTTGTGATACAGCACAGTAGGAAATCCACCCACTTCCCAGCAGGACTTGATTCAAGAATCTCGAATTTCTCATTTTTGAACACATTATCTCAGACGAATTCACTGTTCATGCTTCCCTTGTGGTCTGGATCAAGGGTAGAATGGATGTGGCAAATCCCATTTTGTTCTTTGGCCTCTAAATGGTCCATCTGGTCTGTTACCCCCACCATTTAGGAGATATTACACACGCCTGGTCCCGGGGCGATAGCATACTTAGGAGGCAGACTACTGGTTCTTTATCCGCCAGCGATGGGAAGTTGTGATATATTTTTACGTCTTGTTGGTGTTCCAGGTCCATCAGGTATGATAATATATAAAATCACGGACACATATGTCAAGCTAAAGGTCAACGTTACGATACACGGTAACATTCCTATTGTGCAGTACCGGTTCAAATTTGGAGACACAGTGAAATATTCAAAAATGTACACGTCTCCCTTCCAAGCTTCTACTTCGTGGCTTACGAACTTGGCTTCTGATACCAGTTATAACGTCTCCGCAGCAATCAGAAATTCTTACAAGTGGAGCTTGTTTTCCAAATCAAAATCTATCACGACACTTCCCTCAGGTAAGTACAACTCCAAAGATTTCTGCCTGGTTTAAAAACAATCTTTATTTGACGACTTCGCATGAATCTCTCTACAATAATATTGTCTCTGGGACTCTATAAAATGACAGCCCCCCCCCCCCCCCACACACACACACTATCATACACTATGTCTTGCTGCATCCAGTCATGTCGCATCTTGCAAAATGGATCTCATTTCACTATCACCAACAGTTCGAGTCGATTAGATAACCGAAAACACACTGTTTCCATAGTAACAAATATGCATGCTTGTTCACAGTAGCCATGTTTAGACTCTGCCTGTCCTGCAACGTCTAGGGAAAAAGCTGAACCAGCATACTTGTACCCATACACACAACAACGAGGGCATGGCGAGTTTGTCGCTACTCTGTGAACCTCATGCTTACGGAATAATTGGCAACATAAGGATGGTATTGACCACGTGGGCATTAATGCCGGGAGAGATATCGATGATGTCTGTGGTGCTACAGCACGGGGTGTTGATTCGGTACTTTTGTACATGCGTTTTTACATATTTGGAGCCCGTATGCATAGTGGTTCATGGTGATAACTACCAATTGCTTAAATGAAGCTCTTCATCCTTATTATTATTGTTGACGATCTGCAAGTCGTGATTGTTTTAAGAAAATGCCTGCTATTGCCTTTGTGTTACAGCACCATCAAATCTAACTGTTACTTCAACGGACACTGAAATCAGCGTATCTGTGAAGGACACCTACAAATCAGCAATTTCCAACTATTGCTTCATTCGGATTACAGCGAAACCCCAGCACACGAAAACGATCTGCAGTGGTGTGCACAATGTCACGCTCACGGGTTTGGCTAGCAATGTGCTTTACAACATAAGCGCCTTTGTTGTTACAAAGGATGGACGGAACAGCACTGCGTCTTACGTGGTTAACATCAGCACCAAACCGTCCGCAGTGAAAGCTATCACAACAAGTGTGTCTCAATGCACCACAAGCAGTGCCATTCCTGTCACCAATAATGGAGGGACCAGTACGGTGTCTAATTCGATGAGTATTGGCACCACACTTTTAAATACTAAAGACAAAACAACAAGTGGTTGTCAGGACAGCCCAACCAGCGCCACTGTTGTCCCCAGGGATCTACATGAGAGTCCTATACAAACGGCTGTTACCAATCACTCTGATATCAACACTTCCACAAATAGTGGCTCTCAGCAGAGCACAAGCAGCTCTGTATCTGCAGCCATAGGTGCTGTTGTTGCTGTTGCTGTGTTGCTCATGCTGGTCGCAGCCCTTATCCTTCTGTGGAAATTCAAGATGATACCTCTGAAACATTTTCAAGGTACGCGAACATGCAATACCATTGTTGAGGTATTTCACCGTTCAGGATATATGTGTGGCTTTTTCTGCTGTCAGTTCTGGCAAATTCCTACAACCTCATCCTTGAACCTGTGAATGAAACGAAGTGGACCAGACGCCTTTAGATAATCCCTGCTAGAAGAGCTGTCCAGATACAAAATGTAAAAGCAATACCACCGCTTTTTGTCTTGATACGTCACTTTACGTAATAATGTCTTGTCAGAATGTAGGCTTAGCCTCAGGGTTTTGGATTCGTTACTGGAACCATCCGTATCGAACAAGATAGTAAGTTTTGCGACAGTTTACAATAGATCTGATAGACTGGAATGATATCACAAATTGTTACATTCCACAAACGGTTTGAGTATATTCGCACTTGACGAGGTTTGCAAAATTATCCTCGGGCTTTTGGTTGAGGGCTTACTATTTGCATTTATCTTGCGACAGTATGACTCACTTTGTTTTCTCAGTACGCTCCCTATCTCCAAAACGACTCACCTTGAAGTGTCAGAACCCTCTCAAGTTGGCACAATATTGACCATCCGTAATTGTATGGTCTGAATTTCTGCTAGTAATTCCTCTTCATCTATTTTTGTTCTTGTCAGGTGGCGAACTGGACCTTGGAAATCAGTCTGTACGCAGCTATCGTCCTCAAGAACACGAGACTAACGTTGTAAGGAGAATTTCCAAAGCTTAGTCCACGAAGGATAAATTGCACTTCAGTAATAGATTAGCACCAAGAATACATGACCCCACGAGTGTGCAACTCCGCCATGGTGCAACGACAGAACTCCACTTGACGGTATTAATTTTGTTATGATGCAATTGCCATTGAACATGGCTGATCAGATATATACTGGACCTGTGCTAGACAAATCCACAGTTGAAGCTATGGGAACTAGATCAAAGAAACATGTAGCGTGTTGACACCCGTACACACGTACTGAATCACGTGTGCAGGAGCTGTGCAGAATACCAATAATTATTACTCAACTTGATATTCGGTCGAGACAGCAGAGCATGTAGGAGCTGCACACTCTTCGGGGTACTATGTACTCTTGATATCACTAATAGGACTTCGAAGTATATTATTTACTGTGAATGCCTTGGCCCCATTAATGAAATTTTGGATGAGCTTCTAATGTAAAACAGGTACCCTCCAAGAGCATCCATTGCTCAATGGAATTAAACTGACTTGACTTCAATAAAGGTGAGGTGCTGAGAATTTACAATAATTGTTTCCGTTCTGTGCTGTTTTGTTGTAGGATGCAAGCGAACGATACGCCATGGTAGGTACCACTGCTACGCGACGTCCATCTTGTTCCTCAGGTGATTGTGGTGGTGGTGGTGATCATATATACTCAGCGGTAAGCGAAATATCTCTTATGAAGTTATTTGAGGGCATCATATTGACCAATGACTAGCAGTGGATTGCTATTATCATAATATTTATCACAAAATTTAATAACATCAAGACTAACACAAAAGAAGATGGAAACCCGATAACATAATTATTGTTCGGAACCATTGAATCCAGTGCTGCCGTCTGTCACCAGTGCATTATGGCCAGTCCTGCAGATGTCAAGGTGATTGGTGTTGTGTCCAGTCGCTTGTTTAATACTTTGAATATCGTCTAATTGGCATTGGATGTATCATTAGGTTTTTGCTTGTTCGGTTTCTGGGCCTCACACTTGCACCTTTTGTCATTCCTTGTAGGTGGGCGAGGTCACCAATACACATCATACGATGTTTTACATATACAAGTGCCTCATTTTGATTGTTGTGTTTCGTTTTGTTGCATATCATGTGATGAGATAACATTGAATGTACTTCGTGAAAGTTTGGTAAATGTGGCTGGTGAGGAGTATGAAGTTTGTTCGTTTGCTTTGAAAATGTGATTGCAATTTGTCTCCGAGATAACCACAACATGTGTGTACATGTCTGTGTATATGCACGTGTGTTTTGTGTGTGTGTTTGTGTGTTTATGCGTGCATGACTGACTGTGTGTGCTGATGTGTGCATATTATGACATGGTTTGTTTGTGCAGGTGGGTATACCGACGAATTCGATCACCAACGTATGTTATTCATTTATACCATGGGAAATTGTTGGCACAAGTTTTGCGACTGGGTCCACCAACTAAACCAGACCTTTAACCCTCTTTGGAATTAGCACTGGTATCCATGAACCTTCCAAGTTGGAAGGCTGTTGGTTAGCGCTATCAAGCAGTGCTCAAGCTGACTTTCATGCCGTGGAATGTCTCAGTACTCTTTGTCAGTTTTGCGCTAGATTGTGCACGTCTGACTCTTCAAGTTCTGGTTTAGTTGGTGGACTCAGTCGCATAACTTGTGCCCACAATTTCCCATGTTACAATTTTTTCCTTGGCTCACCATCTGAGATTTCCATTAATTTAATTTTGTAAATAATTAAAATGATCTGGCATGCATTGCATGTGCATGGGCATATTGTAATTTCTGACGTTTTCAGCTGGCTGAGCTCCTTGCTCTGCGTTTGGTCCGGAGACACCGCTTGATTTAGGTACCATTGCCTTTGGGTCATCCGTCATAATAATAATAATGATAATCATGATAGTATAGAAAGGAAAAGGACATATGGATACGAGTTAATAGTAACTCTCCATCACTGTAACTTCATACTAATACATGTAGAAAGGAAAGCTGTATATTATACAGCTTTCCTTTCTACATTTATTTATGGCTCAACATCCCTTCAAATAATGATAGTAATTGAAATTATCTAATTGCCTTGTATTTCACTAAACCAGAGGTTCTACATCTGATTGGGGTTTTGATAATTGTTTTCAAATAGGCGAAATGGAGACAACAATAGCAACGATTAATATAAGTTCCGCGGTCATCCCACCCAACAATAAATTCTCGAAATATTCGTCTCTGCATTCCAATAAGCTATTTCGGGGAGAGGGGGGGGGGTGCTCTTCTATGAAGTCATTTCACGGCGTGCATGTCCATGTAGGGTGTACCTCACAGATCTGCTACGTCAGCTCAGGAGAGCTTTTACACTGCCATCGGAGCTGACATACCTCACACTTGTGATCAGGAGAGTTCTAACAACATTGATGAGACCTATGACAACACGGAGATCTTATCAAAACCTGCACACGCAGGAAACTATGACAAGGTATGGTTGGGATCAGGATGAAAAAGAAGCAGAGGGGTCTCTCCAAAGTGAGGCGTCTCTTAAATTTTGTAAGTGAATAGTTCAGCACAAACAGTGTTGGAACCTCATATTAAACGGAACTCTCATTCCATCATTTTGCTTCCATACGTCGTGGCCTGGCACACACGAAACTTCAAAAAGTCCTACTCAAGCTGGCTATGTTTCTCAACACAATACTGTATAGCTGGCTGTTGCCCAATATCAAGGCCAGAAGGTTTTCTAGCTCTTCACCATCTTTCTTCGTGAAACAGGGATTGTTGGCGGGGGACTAGCACGGCTATTGCGTACTCAATACTGACCTCTGTAAACGGAAATTCCTGCTGTGTATAATCCGTCAGGCTGACAGCGAGGGAAACACGTACGCCCACTTACACAAAGGTCTCGTGCAGGAGCCTGCAGTGGCTGGTGTCCAATATCAGAACACAAAGTTGCAGTTGTTCACTGAACAACCTGAGGTACAAGCAGACTAAAGATTAGTACTGCAAGTAGAACATGTTCAAATACTTGGACAAGGAGTGCTGTTTGATGCAAATAATGCTTAGCAAGGCATCTAGATTATTTATTTACTCTCTGCACTTCAAGGCACATAATGAATTTACTTCAATTAGCCATTACAAGGAAGTGAGGGTGAAACCAACCACGGGCGGAGGGCAAAAATGAAAACAAAATAGAAAAAAGGGAAAAATAGATAAAATAGAATGTAATGCTGGCCTTATTACACCCACTTCTATTATGCACCTGATGTGTGCTTGTATACCAGCTGGTCGGAAGGCAAAAGACTTCATAATGATGGTCTCGGATTGAAAGTCAGTAATATTATCTTTTTTAGAAAAGAAAAGAACCAAGGAACTACAAGTTACACATTTTACAATGTTGTTCCTGGATACTCGTCCTCGCCCTGTTTCTTTCACATCTCTGCTGCACATGTATCATTGTGATTGTTGAGTTTCATTGTTGTTGCATTCCACGTGATGAGGTAACACTGAAAGTACTTTAGGATATTTAGCAAATGTTGCTGGTGAGGGTCATGAACTCTGGTCCTTCCTTTTCAAAGTGTGATTTCATTTTGTTCCCAAGATGAAAACACCAGAATTTACACAAGTCATGTACATGTATGCGCGTGTGTGTGTGTGTCTGTTTGTGTGTGTCTGTGCATGCGTGCATGACTGACAGTGTGTGCTTATGTGTGCATATTATGACATGGTGTGTTTGTGCAGGTGGGTATGCCAGCGAATTCGATCAATAACGTACGTTTTTCATTTATTTAAACTATTTTGCGGTCGGATATGCGCATGGGCGTATGTCTGAATGATTTGCAATTGAACTTGTCTGATGGCATTCCATATCACTAAACCGCAGGTTCTTCATCTGATTGGTGTTTTATAGTGGAAACCGTTTTAGATATGGTGCATCCTCTGTGGATGATGTTTCCCGGCGCTTTTTCCCTAAAAGGATGCTGGTTTCTCGTATTTCAGTAAAAACGCTTGTTTTCTGACACCATAACTATCACGCATCAGTGTTTGGAACCGTAAACATTACACTTGCAATGTAGTGCTACAGAGGGAAACTCACTAGAGAATCTTTCCCACATAAGCAAAATAGAGACGACATAGCAAAGAAAGAGTGTTCCTGTATACATTTTTGGCGGAGGGGGGGACGTTCTTTTTTGAAGTCATTTCATTGCGTGCATGTCCATGCAGGGTGTGCCTCCCAGATCAGCTTCACGTCCGGAGAGCTTTTACACTGCCATTGGAGCTGACATGCCACCCACTCGTGGCCAGGATGGTTCTAACAACATTGATGAGACGTATGACAACACGGAGATCTTATCAAAGCCTACACACGCAGAAAGCTGTGGCAAGGTGTGGTTGGGATCCAGGGGAAAAGACATTTGCAGAAGAAGTGAAGAGTTTCTCCAAAGTGAGGGGTCTCTCCATAGTGAGGGGTCTCTCCATAGTGAGGGGTCTCTCCAAAGTGAGGGGTCTCTCCCAAATTTTAAGCGAAGATTTCAGGACAAACAGTGTATAGGACATGATAATGGAACTCTCAATCCATTGTTTTGCTTCCATACGTCGTGGCTTGGCACAAGCGACACTTCCTATTCAAGCTGGCCATGTTCCTCTAGACAATACTTTATAGCTGGAAGTTGCCCAATATCAAGACGAGGGAAATATTTCTGGCTCTTCCGCATCTTTGTTCGGGGAAAAAGGAACTGTTGATGGGAGACTAGCAGAGCTATTGCTTACTCTATACTGAGTTCTTTAAACTGACATTCCTGCTCTGCATTCTTCCCTTCAGGCTGACAGTGAGAAGAACACATACGCCCACTTGCACAAAGGTCACATGCAGGAGCCAGCAGTGACTGATATCCAATATCAGAACACAACATTGCAGTTGTCCACTGAGCAAGAGCAAGATGAGGTACAGTCATTTGAAGAGCTCAAAACACCTCGCTTACCACTATTGCATGAACACGTGTTTGGTCTTGTACCAGGCTCCACTGGTCATCCTCGCACAGCCATGTTCAAGTGTCACCGGCAGCAACGATTAGGAAATGTTCATATGGCAACCGAGAGGACGAACGGCGCAGTAACCATTCTGTATCATAAGTGTTTCCTCTTGGTTGCGATATTACGGTTTGCTGTCTCAAAACGCTTCTTTACATGTTCTTGTACTTGGACAAAAAGTGCTGTTTGATGCAAAAATGCATAGACAGGCATTTAGATGTTTGCCGTATCACAACCATTTCTAATATGCAAATCCACATAAGCTGTGAGGAAACGAACATGAAGGAAGCAAGCCTTTTTACGGGAAAAATTAACACAATGGATTCAAATGCAATAAAACATACACTGTAGAAGAAAGAAGACAAATACGGATGTAAAATAATGATGTTCTGTTCTGTATTGAATTAAAAATATAAAGTTGGTTGTTCCAACTAGGAACACACGCTTCTTGCTTAACCTGACACTTGACTGACTCACGACTGCCACCCGGAGCACACGAGGAGAACGTCGCACCTTCCACTCGGCAAACCTGCAAGAAGGCTGCTCCCTGCTCTATACACAGTGTTTCGTGGAATTCACCCCTCACCAGTTCAGCTTGAGTAGGCTGAGGAATATTGTGCCTGAAAAGCACCACTTAAATACTGCTCTCCAGGCCAAACCATCACCAGAGATACAAACTTACAGAGACGCTTTTTTTCCAGCGCGACAAACACCTCGTGCTGCCCCAGGTAGCAGCGGGAGTCAGAGTCGCTCATGGAGTTGTACCAAACAAACGTGGAGAGCCAGTAGCTATTCACAATGCTGTCACCTCCAACAACTAGTCGCACTTTCGCGTGGGGGACAACACTACGAGGAGAACGTCGCACCTGCCACTCGATATAAGTGGTGCTTTTCAGGCACAACTTTCCTCAGCCTACACAAGTTCAACTGATGAGGGGTGAATTCCTCGATACACTGTGTATTGAGCAGGGAGTGGTGCTTTCTTGCAGGTTTGCCGAGTGGAAGGTGCGACGTCCTCCTCGTGTGCTCCGGATTGCAGTCGCGAGTCAGTCTAGTGTCAATTTCGGCAAGAAGCGTGTGTTCCTAGTTGGAACTGTAACAGGTAGCCGAGTGGGAGGCGCGGTGAAATCAACAAGAGTTAGTTTTATTCTTCTTCTCTCAGGTACACACCTGAAATATAATTATTAGTGAAAGAAGAAGCGGCAAATAAATGACTTTCTCTCCGATGCACACCTAGAGGTTGACTACTTCTTCTTCGAGTTAGCTTTGTCGTTGCTATATCTAATCTTCCTCAAAACAGAAATGCGCAGCCGCTTTTATGCAGCAGACGCCGTACGCTTACATACGGAGATACACTAAATATACATCAGGCAAAGCTCCGTATTAGTTCCGTACTGCTTCCGTATTGGTCGGGCAGGGATACTACAGAACAACCAACTTCATGACTATTCCCCCCGAAGTCGCATCTTCTAAGTTCGTAAAAATATATAATAAATTATCCTGACAAGCATGCCCCGCTGCACAACTCTAAGCCTTCCCGGAGGGCGATACCTCCCTGGTCTGACAGAGAGCTGCACCAGCTCGAACAGCGTAAACGGCGGCTGCACAGTCGTTGGCGGAAGGATAGGACAAACGGCACACTGTATGCAGAGTTTAAACAAGCACGTAGCACTGCTCGGAACGCGTATCGGCGCAAGCGAAACGAGTACTTCTCCCGTCAGTGCGAAGAAAATGTGGCCAACCCTAGGAAGTCTTGGGCCATTCTAAATGCAGTCACTGGGCGTTCACGTCGCCGCCAAGATCCTAGTTGTAGCATCAGCGAGGTGGCCGACACGTTCCACTCCATTGTCACCGATCCCAACCGTCCTGAACAACTCTGTACCCCGCACGGTCCCGCTGGACCCGTCTCCTTAACCGAACTTGATCCTGTGACTCCTGCTGACGTCCGACGTCTCCTTGAGAAGTTGGATGCGCGGAAAGCCACAGGTAGTGACGGCATACCGGGCTCTCTGCTACAGCAGTGTGCTGACTTGCTTGCATATTCTCTTGCTGTGCTGTTCTGCACCTCGTTGAGGACTGGAACCATTCCATCCGCATTTAAATTGGCGTCTGTCGTGCCACTGTACAAGGCCGGTGACCCATCAGTCCCCACCAACTATAGACCTGTATCCCTTCTCCCAATAGTGTCCAAGTTGCTGGAGAGGGTAGTGCAACACCAGTTAGTTCGTCATTTGGACTTGACCCAGGCATTACCCGAAACACAATTTGCCTTCCGCAAGAAATGTTCCACGGAAGACGCCCTCTGTGTGCTGACTGATAATCTGCAGAAGGCGAGAGACAGTGGCAAGACCACAGGGCTGTGCCTATTAGACATGTCGAAGGCTTTTGATAAAGTGCACCACGACAAGTTAATTCAAGACCTCCTTGCGGTTGGAATTTCTGGAAAAGCCCTTAGTTGGTTCGTCGACTACTTGTCCGGCCGCAAGCAGCAGATCCTCATCGCGCCTTCAACCAGCCCTGCTCTGGCTTGCACCTGCGGAGTGCCCCAAGGCTCTGTTCTCGGCCCTGTCCTCTTCAGTATATACACGCGCGATGTCCCTTTGGTTTCCTGGCTTGTGCCAAGTGTACAATTTGCAGATGACATAGCCCTGTACGACTCCCAGGCCTCAGCGGCGGAAGCGTCCAGAACCCTCACCACAGCGGCAACTGCTCTGGCCGGTTGGCTGAAGTCCCGAGGCCTCATCTTGAACGCCACCAAGAGCCAGGTTCTGACTATCTCTCCCCAGCAGCATGTACAGGAAGTAACAGTCAAAAGCGGCGACTGTCTCCTCCCCTCAGCGTCTTCTGCGCGCTACCTCGGCGTTCACCTTGACAATCGCCTAGATTGGGACACCCATGTAAACTATGTGGTCACCAAGGTTGCCAAGAAAATTGGCGCCTTGTGGCGGGCACGCCGAAGCCTATCAAGACGCTCTCGTCAGGTGTATGTGAAGGCGGTCATAATGCCCGACCTGCTTTATGGCTCCTGCTGTTTCTCAGTCGCAATGCGAGAGGGTCAACTGAAACGACTGCAAACCACGCAAAACAGAGCCATCCGCTGTATAGATGGCAACCCGCCCCGGACAGCCATGCAGCCGCTGCTCACTGCTCACTCCCTGTACCGTGTCAGCGAGCTCTACAGGCAGAAAATATTGATCACCATCTGGCGGTGCATCCACGCCCGCACCAGCCCTGTGCTCGCCCAGCTTCTGACCCCAGCACAAGGCACCCCTACCCGCCATCAGCAGTCAAATGGCCTACTAAGCCAGGCAAACCGTAGCCGCCGCGGTCAGCGGAGATTTTCTGTTGCTGGTGCTCTGCTGTGGAACGCTCTCCCTGGTGAGGTCCGCACAATTACCCGGCTACCTGAGTTTAAGCATGCATGTGTACCATACGCCTGTAGGGAGTAGTTGGAGGTGCTGCTGATCGCTCTGCTCTCCCTCCCCGTGCAGTTCAGTAACCCGCACGTAGTATCACAGATACATCGTATTCTCTCTCTCCCCCCGTTTACCCGCAGTTATTAGTATCCTATTCTCTTACTATGTGCTTCCATAGCTTTTACTATGGTCTTCCATAGCCACTTCTAGGCTAAGCCTTCGCCGTCATTTTATTGGGTCGTCATCCCGTTTGAATGTGCGAAGTGAAATAAAAACCAACCAACCAACCAATCCTCAACGAACTCAATCAATAAACTCAATGTAAAAGGAGAAAACAATAAAAAAACAACGAAGGAAGCCATATCCAATGAAAGTATTTACCGGTATTCCACGTTTCCAACATCCATCCTCCGACAGTTTTGCATGCATGACCTTCATTTTTCCATACTTCTTTTTCCGTCTGAAATGTTTAAACAGGCAAACAGTGAGGAGTACAGTGTTCTTCAAAGGCCAAAGGTACGTCTTTGGTTAATGTCATGTCCTCCGCTGATACCTGCCTAGGTTAAGTAACACAGCAAAATGCTAGTCCAGGCGCGGCTTGCACAGTAGTCGCAAGTTGGGTATCCAAACACCTGCAAGTGCATAGGCAGTTTGGAAAGATGTGCAGTTTGGAATGATGAAATACTATATCTGAAGACTCCCTGATATGTATGTTGAAGCTAGCGGGGGAAGTAAAGAAGACTCCAACCAATGGGTCCTTCATGATAGGCTACAGTTGATCGAGGTCTTCGAATGCGGTATACAACACATACGTGTAATGGAATCATTTCACTGGTTGTGTTTGTGCTTTGTTCATTAGACCGAGAAAAAGGGCAACATTTATGACACAGTACAAAGCGACAATGGACAGGAGTTGGACACGGTGTCTAATAGCGCTGTACCACCGTTCACCATCAAGCAAGTTGGGGTAAGTAACTCATAGTGAGACAATATCAGATATTTCTATTGTTTGATTCTTTTACTTCACCCACACTGGGAAGATGGAGACTACATGTTAACAGTGAGCCATTGTTAAGAGGAACACTGATTAGAAAAAAATTCTCTTTCGTAGAACCAGTCTTCACAGCTAAATAGGATAAACTACTGGGTACAACAAATGCTTTCCAGCTGTTTAGGCGGAACATGTACATACATGTACTTGACGTACATGCCTCTACTATTGGTAGTGGTATTGGTATTGATTTATTTGAATTCGGTATCTCAACAGTAACAACGTACAACTTGGGAAGATCCGAATGACATAGATACGTAAACGTAACAGTGGACTAGGTGCTACAGTTGATCATTTTATCGCAGGTTGTGGGACTAAACTAATACCAGTATGCTAGTACAAAGTATTACCCTGCAGTGGTGTAATAATGATTAGCCACAACTTGAATTGGCAACTTGAACTGGCTCGTGGTATGTCAAGCATGTCACAAGCCAGGTGACATTTGCCTGTTCTTCTTGATGACCAGCCAAAGCACAGAGCTCCACGTGGAATGCCTTGGAACACAATCAAACCATCGTACAGTTCCTGGTAGGTTAAGTTCGTCGTTGTTGATGTGTTCACAACATTATTTTAATGATGCATCCTGCAGAAAATGGAGCAAGCCGGCACACGACACTGCGAACGAGCTGCATGTGCTGAACAGGGGGTGGCTTCGTCAGACACATACTGTGCTGTGGATATGAGCAGAGGTACCGAAGCTGTACATGCAACTGTAGCCAGCCCAACGGCCATAAAGCCAACACTGAACGTGGTCACCTCAGGTCCACCAACGTCACAAGCTGCAGTTTATGTGAACACCGGTGACTATGGAAACGGTTGTACGGTACGTGTATACACTCATACCAGTATCTCTCTTGCCCGTGCTGTCGAGAAACGGGGCCCGCCTATATCTATGAAATACCCGTAACTCTGAATCACTTACGTTTTGAAATACTTCATGTAGCTAATAGCGAGTTGCGTAGGCACAGGATTGGTGACAGAAAAGCCAGAACTACCAGTACATTAGCGGGCATTGTATTATCACTGATCCCGTATGGACCGGGTCATACCACACAGCACGGTGCATGAACTTCAGTCTCTAGTGAAGAAATCTTTGGCAATACACAAATCAGTCATCGTTAAAAAATGTATTTGAAATACCGGTAAGACAAATATTTAAATCAGTTTGACTTTCGCTTGAAATCTTGCGAAGAACAAATGGCGGTGTGGATGATTCGTCAAGTCAGCTATATTCCTCTCCATTGTCTTTGTGTTTTATGCAGCTTGAAGCGATTCCACAACAGAATCCACTGCACGACTCCTGCTTAGGAGCATTCAATGTATGTCCTGTTCCATCATGTACATTTTTGTTGTGTTTGAGCAGTTCATTATGATCCTCTTCATTACACCCTTTCACTGTAGCAAGGGAGTAAAGAAGTTCCTCTCCAACCGATTGTCCTTTACACAGAAGGTTACAAATAAGGGATATAAGTGCTATGAGTTTTAAACTGGAAGCAGCTGTATGAGGGAACTGAGTGCCAACGTATATGTCGCTTTCTGATGGTGTGTTGAGGCAGTGTATCGAGGTCGACTGGAGAGCGCAGCTGTGGTGTGGTGGTTGATTACAAATGTACAAAACGTTACATGTAGTATAAGATGAAATATTTTACATTAACAAAATTTAATAAAAAAATGTTGATGAAATGTTGATCTCCGCTCTCTCTCTAGTTTCTATCGGATGGCATGAGTGTGGATGAGAGTCTGTACGACAACACCCGAGCACCAGCAAAACAAGAGAAACAAGCATAGTAAGCAAATGGGGAAGCATGTACTGCCAGCAAACACAGATAAACACCGATACGAAGACTGAAGGAATGCAAAGCAAGTGAAATCCGGCTAATAGCACTGGACAATATGCCATGTCTGGCGCACATAAGAGAAGCACACAAATCTGTAAAGCAAATATTTTATCATCACTGGTCATGACTCAGATATACAGCCACAATAGCACTGCACAAGTGATATCACTGTGTGCCAATTTATTATGGATTTCATTCCACAAAATACTTCTTTTTATGAATGTCATTCTCGTTAAATGTCAGAGTAAGAATTTTTTCTTGTGATTCGGTTCTCTTTTAGCAGCTCTTGCTCAGCACCACAGGTAAATCTTTATTTTACCAGTTTGTATTGCAATCTTCGATACAGTTGTTTTGAGAAACACAATATTGAAGCATCCGTAATAACAGAACATAATAACATACCATACTCATCCGTTTGAGGGACCGGATGAACCATACCGTGATATTTCTAAACACACAGCTATCAGTGATGATTTTACCACGATCGATCATCTACTTCACAGAATACCTGTTTGAATGCTGTCCAGACTTGCGTAGCGGCTGGTGAAGTGATATACACAATCCGCACGTGTTATGGAATTTGTCTTCTGTCTCATCACTTGGAAGGCGATAGCAATTGCTTTCCATCTCCGACTTCACCTGTTATACATGAAACTATTGGCTCGGATAGTCACCCTGGATTGACCATGGACTGCATGGTCAATGCAGGTTCTAACATAATATTTTTGCATCCCACTCCCCCCCCCCCCCCCCACCTTGAATGATGATAACCCCCCCCCCCCCCCACACACACACACGCACACATACTTACTTACTTATTGCTCACTGCCAAAACTGGTCACGTGGGTCTCCGCGGGAGAGAAGAGAGAGACTCAAAAGGAATCTTGGAAAGATGACTCAATTGGCTATTGAACCGCCACATCGCCAAGTGCCGCTTTCAGAGCAGGCCAGTCGGAAAACACTTGGTTAGCTTCCAATGCCGCTATCAACCAAAGACGAGTGTTTCCAGTCAAAAATCCTGCCGCGTAGTCGACCCACTGTCCATTTGGGAGTGCCAATGACCGTAGGGCCATGTCCATTTCAAACGTCCATTCTTTGAATGTAGCGGAATGTCCTCCAAACACAGGTGGTTCTTTCGTAAGGCGGGGTGTTGGCTCCCACGGTTCCGAGTTCGGATGTATCGTTCGGTTTCTTTGGCTAACGCGCTGAGCGGTCTTGATATCGTTTATCAGCTGAACGACGAGTACGAGGAGCATAAGCAGAGCGACCAGAACACCTGCCAAAAGCAGAGTAGTAATCATCCTCTTGCTACCAGTGTAACCTGTTTAATCAAACTTGAAAAGAAAGAGGCCTGGTTGAGCGTGCCTCAACCAGTTATATGTAAAAGGTGATAGTATGCATGTGGCAATGGCGCCAATGAAGGTGATAATAGACAGGCGTAAGATGCATGAGGTGCGACGGAGTGTAAAGTTATAGCGAACAGGGGGAAATTTGTTACAGTCTCCCTAGATAGTTTCCCTATAGTTCGCTATCTTTTAATTCTGATCGTTTGTGTTTTTTATTTCTCGGAGAAAGCGTAGAGCCCGAACTTGCTGGAGAAAAAAGTTACAACAAACCTTATGAAACCCGGGTATTGAGCCAATAATAAATGTAGAAAGGAAAAGGACATATGGAAACGAGTTAAGAGTAACGCTCCACCACTGTAACTAGATATTATATACAGTCAGAAAGTGCAATAACTAGGCACAAAACTGACAGAGTACTGAGACATTCGACGTCCTGACACCTAGCTTCAACACATCTCCGTAGCGCTAACCGACAGCCTTCCAACTTGGAAGGTTCAAGGTTATGGAAAGACCAAAGAGGGGAAGGCAAGCGCAACGAAAACGAGCACAAGCTACAGTCCCAACGGAACAAAGAATGTCGATTGTCACAGGACGATGACGAGACCAGTAGGCGATTTGACAAAGCGGTCTAACTACAATTCGAAGCAGCAAAGCAGCACACAACCCAACTTGGGTGGGTCAAAAATATCAAAGATAAGTTAAGAAGGGGGAAGCTTTGCGAGAACGAATTGTACAAGCCGAAATCTAAACTCCTACAGTACTCCTCATGCATGACATTGTGATGGACTAGTTGACTACAAAACAAGTTGTTTCACACGACGTACGTTTCGCCGTATGGTTCGTGACGGCTCATCAGGTGTGCAATTTGAAACTCGGGTATTGAGCCAATAATAAAAGTAGAAAGGAAATGGATATATGGAAACGAGTTAAGAGTAACTCTCCACCACTGTAACTAGATACTATATACAGTCAGAAAGTGCAAAAACTAGGCACAAAACTGACGGAGTACTGAGACATTCGACGTCCTGACACCTAGCTTCAACACATCTCCGTAGCGCTAACCGACAGCCTTCCAACTTGGAAGGTTCAAGGTTATGGAAAGACCAAATTGAGTTGTAGTTAGACCGCTTTCTCAAACCGCGTACTGGTCTCGTCATCGTCCTGTGACAATCGACATTCTTTGTTCCGCTGGGACTGTACCTTGTGCTCGTTTTTGTTGCGCTTGCCTTCCCCTCTTTGGTCTTTCCATAACCTTGAACCTTCCAAGTTGGAAGACTGTCGGTTAGCGCTACGAAGATGTGTTGAAGCTAAGTGTCAGGACGTCGAATGTCTCAGCACTCTGTCAGTTTTGTGCCTAGTTGTTGCACTTTCTGACTGTATATAGTATCTAGTTACAGTGGTGGAGAGTTACTCTTAACTCGTTTCCATATGTCCTTTCCCTTTCAATAAACCCTATCTTAATATTTTAGCTATGAATAGGATGAAGGCCGCAGACATCACGCAACTACTTGTACGTTACTTGTTTGACATGTTTTACTGTGTATTTATAACAAAAATATTACTCAATCTGCGGACAGAACTGTTTCGTCCTTTGTGGACTCGTCAGCGCAGCACAGAGCAAATGAGGCCGAACCTGATAGCAATGGAAAAAAAATTTCCTATTAGGCCCGAACGTACCTTGCCAGAGTGCTCAGACTGACAAGTCAGTGAGCTGTGCATAACGCAAACAGCAAAGGCACTACCCCACGCAAGAGTGCTCAACTGCTACAAGAGCAGGAGCGAAATACTCAATCTGTGGACAGAACTGTTTCGTCCTTTGTGGACTCGTCAGCGCAGCACAGAGGAAATGAGGCCGAACCTGATAGCAATGGAAATAAAAATATCCGATCATGCCCGAATGTACCTTGCCAGAGTGCTCAAACTAGTACTTTTACGGAGAGCGGAGTCGTTCGCTTGGATAGAGTTGGCCGTGGTTGGCTATAAGAGCCCTGCAATCGCCACTCAAAGTGGCCATTGGCTACTTCAGCCATGCATTGCTTGGAATAAAAGAAAATAGATGAAGAGTGCTCAATGCAAAAGCAGAGCAGTAACTAACGAGTCACAGAGTACGCCGCGGCTGGTTGTAAGGAATAGCTTCATACCAGATGACAATGTTCAGACAACTGTCAAGTTGTCTAAAGACTGCAATCTGGTATGATGGTATTAGTTACAATCAGACGAGTGGTTCGTGTACTAGTTTTTTTATGCCTCGGAAACTGATCCGCCTTTTGCAGAATTATAAGAGAAGACCAGGAACAAAGTTGAAACTTTTCTAATTGTCGGTAAACTCCAATTTCATTAAACTGAGGATGCGCCAGGCCCGACAATTTGGTGTAATGGTAATTTTATTTTTGGATTTGAATCGCAGTGAAGAGACCATTTTTGGAGTTTGGACTTGAGGAGTAAAGTTTCCTAACGACCAGGTATACGTAATTTTCGTGGAGATTACTCAATCTGCGTTAGTAAATGAATGTACTTTACTTGGTATCAATCTCCAAACCATAGCCCCCGTGCAATCAGAACGTTCTGTCTACTCCACTGACTCTTGCATAGTCCATGTTATCATTCGCAAATCTCAAGTTTTTCGTTACAACGCGTAAAACGCGCGTTAAACTCCTCCTCTCGTGTCTTCACCCTGTTCTGTTTGTTATCGTATTACTGATTTCCGGATTGCAGGACGCCATTCCAAGTACACGTTATAGTTTTGACTCAAATCTGTGGACAGCAACTGTTTCGCTCTGTTAGAGTTAGAGTTTTTATAATTCTTCCCATCTGCATCTTATAACAGTGTTAATTTTGTTCAACCTACACAGTATCTCTGACGTGGCATACTCGGTTCCTGGGCCGAGAATCAATCAGGCGTCACAAAGCAGAATAGCAAAGTGTACTTCAAGTAATATGTCAGGTTTTCCTTCATGTGAAGCAATTCCACCAGGCAACAATATATGGGCCGGAACAGTGATTCATGCAAAGGCACGACAACAGACACAAAGCACCTTGCGTCTGTAACTCAGAGGTTCGTGTTTGTAAACACCAACCAGAGGGATACGAGGTTTGATTGTGAGGATATTGTCAACGTCTGATGAGTGATCACCTTGTCTCTAAACCCGAAACTCAGAGGTACAGAGAAAACGGTTTTGGCTGTTCTTTTTCAAGTGTTGTGGTACGTTTATTCCTAGTTCGGGCCGTTGTAACACTTACTGGAGGAGTCTGATAACGTTGCTTGGTTGGAAGCATTTCGCTATGCAAATCTACTTGAACATTTTACATGGGAGCTTGTTTCCGACTACACAAGTCGGTGTCGTAATTGCTCTGTGCCGGACCTACAGAACAAAAGCCGCTTAGAACATCATCCACAAGCATGCAGGTACTAGTCTAGTATCATTATTAGTAATGAAGAATATTCGAATATTCGATTGATATTCGTTTGGAACCAGATAGAAGGAATTTTTCCCCTTTAGAATATTCGTGCACACTTTGCTCTTGTGTCGATCTATCGCAGTAATTCGTGAACGGATGGAGTGATATGTACATATGTTTTGTGTTGAGAAAGGGGACTGTGACTCACAAGAGTGGTGGACATGACTCGATTAAACATCTACTTGGTCTAGAACAACCGTGGACTAGACAAACTCTTTCTAAGATTCTTTTGAACTAAATATTGCGACAGAGCTTTCGGCCATATTTTCAATTCATTGCATTCCCAACTCATTTACAACCACGCGCTCTTCAGCCGAACCATACAGACACCAGCAAGGACACTTCCGTTGAGAGATAATATTGCTCCACGCCTCTAGACAGCTGTTTCGCTCCCTGTCGGAGCTCATCAGTAGAGGATGATAATGATGATAATGGAGAAATGATCAGTCTTATACACCATAAATGGCGCAAGTGCGCGCTTTCCACATATTATATCAATGGCATATGCAAGCTGCTAAAATGGTTAAGTGTGAGAACAGCGATAAATAATCATAGTACGCGCTCATTGGTGGAGAAACACACCACACATGCGACGAAAATCTTGCGCGGAATACTGATGCCAATGGAAAGTACATGTATGTTGTTTATTATTATGATGTTGCAATGTCCATGTATGCAGGCGAGGCGAGACTCACCGCCGAGATCCCCCAACGCGACAGGCTCGGTTGCCGTTCAGGATTCACACCGACCTGTCCGCCCGTCAACAGGATCGACAGCGGGAGGCCCCACTGATGCCGATGTCGATGCACACCAGGAAACTTGTAGTCGTGACGGAAGTGTCCTTGCTGGTGTCTGTATGGTTCGGCTGAAGAGCGCGTGGTTGTGATGAGTTGGGAATGCAATGCAGATTCTTATGGTATAGAATATTCGATTCGATTACAAAAAATCGATTTCGTTCCTATTTAAATATTTGTTTCACCTCTAGAAATAATTCAGCATTTTGAGAGAATATTCGTTATTCGTTCGTTATGGGTGAGTATTCGTTCGTTTGTAAAATAGAACATTCGTTGCAGCCCTAGAACTTATTAGGCTGTCCGTCGTCGTGTGTATGCCACTGTGTCAATGTGTTTTCCCATAGACACAGACGCGATTGGGCTATGTCTATTGTAATTGCCCTTGACAGTTCTAGCAACAATACTGCTGTTGTATCTTCACTTGCAGTCAAATATGTAGGCTGTTTCCGTCTACTGCAAATAGTGCAATCACTATTTTAAAAAGCATATTTGAATAATCGAAGGATACTCTAAGTGGTGCTCTTCAGGCACAATCTTCCTCAGCCTACTCAAGCTCAACTGATGAGGGGTGAATTCCCCGAAACACTGTGTATTGAGCAGGGAGTGGTGCTTTCTTGCAGGTTTGCCGAGTCGAAGGTTCGATGGACTTCTCGTGTGCTCTGGATGGCAGTCGTGAGTCAGTCAAGTGTCAAGTAAAGTCGGCGGAATAGCGCGAGCTCCGGTGTGGGGAGCAAACCTTTCTTATATATATAATATTATATTTGAATAATCGAAGGATACTGGACGGTATTGCACTCGTACTGGTTGTGTTGGGAGGCATGCTTGCATGCTGGTCGTGTGACGTTTGTGTCCAACACGTAGCGATGTCTAGTTTGCGTGGAAGCAGAGAAAAGCCTTCCCTGAACCTAACCCTAGCCTTTGGTGCAGCGGAAACTTATAACGTCCACTTGATTCTGAGATGCACATCACTTTGGTGTGTGAAGATGTGTCCGGTCAACCCACCATTCCGCTTGGAACAGGGTCCGGCAATTACTGGCTTTCACGTTACTCGGGAATATTGGTAAACCCACAGCATGTTTTCCTGATATCACTGATTTGCGTACATTTACAGGTGTATGTATCCTGAAACATTCACAGCATGCACTCTTAATATTCACAGTAGCGCTCTAAGCATGTGTGCAGTTTTACTTCCTGTGTCAACTAGAACATGTCAAACGGCCATATCTTGAAACATAAGGCGACGGCCTTGTAGGCATACAATTCAGCACGTTTATGTCTGTGTATTGAGCGGGGAGTGGTGCTCTCCAGGCACAAATATCACCAGGGATACGAACTTAAAGAGACGCTCCGTTTTCAGAGCGACCAACACCTCGTGAGCACCAGATAACTGCGTGAGTCGTTGTCACTCGTGAAGGTGCTGAACAAACGCTGAGAACCGTTTGCCAATCACAACGTGGTTCTGTATATGATGTTTGTGCCTGGAGAGCACTATATAAGAGATGGTCTTCAGGCACAATCTTCCTCAAGCCACTCAAGCTCAACTGATGCGGGATAAATTCCGGGAAACACTGTGTATTGAGCAGGGAGTGGTGCTTTCTCGCAGGTTTTCCGATCAGAGGATTCGATGGACTTCTCGTGTGCTCTGGATGGCAGTCGTGAGTCATTCAAGTGAGAATTCAAGTCGGCAGGAAACCTGCGAGCTCTCATGTAGAGAGCAACACAGATCTCCCCAAGTAACGCCGAAGTCACGCACATCTCTTCCTCACATTGTTGTACCCAGCCCGGGCTTGTGTATTGGATGGTCTGGAGGCACCAACCTTGTGATTGGCCAACCGTCCTCAGCGCTTATTCAGCACCTTCACGAGCGACACTGACTCACGCAGATGTCTGGTGTTAGATGTCTGGTGTTCACGAGGTGTTTGTCGCGCTGGAAACGGAGCGTCTCTGTGAATTGGTATCGCTGGTGATGTTTGTGCCTGAAAAGCACTATAAGTGGTGGTCTTCAGGCATAATCTTCCTCAGCCTCCTCTCAAGCTCAACTGATGAGGGGTGAATTCCCCGAAACACTGTGTATTGAGCAGGGAGTGGTGCGTTCTTGCAGGTTTGCAGAGTCGAAGGCTCGATGGACTTCTGGTGTGCTCTGGATGGCAGTCGCGAGTCAGTCAAGTGAGAATTCCAGTCGGCAGGAAAACCGCGAGCTCCCGTGTAGGGAGCAACACACAATTCCCAATAGTACTATTAGTGCCTAAAGTGGCAGACTTGAGCAGATCCTTTCGTCAACACTGCGTGCACAGCAGTATAAGTGTTCGTAACGGATGTCCAGTTTTGCTTCCTGTGTCACTGGTGACACGCCAGCCCTCACAATCTTGCAGAATAATGTGGCAAGGCATCTCTCTCTCTCTCTCTCTCTCTCTCTCTCTCTCTCTCTCTCTCTCTCTCTTTCTCTTTCTCTCCCTCTCTCTCTCTCTCTCTCTCTCTCTCTCTCTCTCTCTCTCTCTCTCTCTCTCTCTCTCTCTCTCTCTCTCTCTCTCTCTCTCTCTCTCTCTCTCTCTCTCTCTGCTATTGGCGTGCCTGGGTGTGATGAAACCGAGACCCAAGGTCGGCAGGGCATTCCAGACCACGCCACCACTCCCCTTATTCATGGCTCACACATGACGGGTTTACGTGGCTCTAGTAAAAAAATAAAAACAATATGTTGCCGGGTGCAAACTCACGGGGTGAGTTTGCACCCCGTGTGCATGAGCTGTTTCTGCACTGTTCATGCCCGTTTGTCACACTTACTCTTTATCTTAGTTCTCACTTTTTGTAATACTTACCACATGTTACCCGTCATGTGTCACACTTCTTTGGATTTTTAACCTTTGTTTTTCTCTTGATCACTTTAGTTCCGTATTTCCACTGATGATCGGGGCTTGAAAATCGATTTTGGAAACACAGAAAACCAAACCTTGAACAAATTGTCATGTTGCGTGGTGATGTCTGCGGCATTCATACTTTTCATAGCTATTAATAATGTAATCCAGCATGTTTTAGATGTCAGGTGGTTTCCAGATGCTGTTCACTGGTAGTTGGCTAAGTATGGTTGCCTCTACTTGTACGTGGTAGCTCTTGCTAATCGTGCACAATAATCTTACAGGGCAAGTAATCAACATGTTTTGCATGCCAGATGGTTCCGGTGTGCTGTGCATTGGTGGTTCGCTACCTGTGTTTTCCTCTATGCGGTACACCAATCATCCTGAGGCTTGTGGGGGTCCGTTTCCGCGCCAGTCGTTGGTATACGTGATGATTCAGCCACTGAGCTTCACTGCTGGCGAACGCCTGTGTTCTCATGCATGCGTTCCAAAGTCATGCCGTGAAGGTACACAAACGAGGATCGGCGACCCTTACGACTGTAATGCCAATAAACACTCTGTTCGCTCTGGGGAGACCTTTGGTTTGGAGTGTATTCAGTGAGTGAGAGGGATCACCGTGGAACCTAGCGCAGTGGTTGGACTGACAAGTTGCTGAACAGACACCATTACAAGTTCTTCACTCTGCTCTGTCGGATAAGATGGTGCCCCACTCTCTTGGTTTGTGCCTCGTCGCGCTGATCACAGTAGTGGTTGCAAGCAGCGATACTAATTCAAAAGGTATGAAATACTGTGCTTTTTCACTGTCTAGCGTTAACAGGACACACTCCACGTACACTACAAGGCTAAAGATAGGTGCCCTTCCCTTCGCAGAGTAAGCGAAGTAGATCTTGTGTATTTTTGCTGCCTGGTGATTGATTGAGTGCCATGAAACTAGCTTGTTTTTTTTTCGAAGTGTGAGTTGGTGTTCTGTCCACACTGCACTCAAGCCAGTTGGTCAAGAATTAAGATGATGGTATATTTTTAGCTGAAATGTGACTATGCAGTACCACGCGGGCTTCACGAGTGGCTTCGCTAGTTGTGTTAATTTGTTGCCTCTAGATAAATTTCAATTTTCGCCTGTACTTTTAATTGCTAGAGTGCTAGAGTGCTAGAGTGCTAGACTGCTCAGTACCACCGTTAGTTAGATTTCAGTACACAACACACACAGAAGTGGCCCTTGGCAAGAGCGTACGGCCAATTCCGTATGTGAGGTGTTGCCGCATTGTCACAAAGGCAATTTTGAGAGTTGTAAGCCACGAAGTTCAGGAAGCGTGCGGTTTCATTCAGAAATGTTAGGGCCTTCCTGCGCGCATAGAGGTGGCTATACATGCTATGCAACATCTTTACCGTGATCAATGTACCGATGAGATACTTTTAGTTGATGCTCGCAATGCTTTCAATTGTTTGAATAGGCAGGCAGCGTTACATACTATCCAGTACTTGTGTCCGCCCCTTGCCAAAATTTAACAAATTCGTATAGTTCTCCTGCTACACTGTTTGTTTCTGGCGGTGGTGAATTTTTTTGGGATGAGGAGACGACACAGGGCGATCCCTTGTCCATGGTATTGTAAGCGCTTGCGACTCTGCATTTGGTACTGCAGGTTACCCACACGGCAGTACGTTAGATATGGTATGCGTATGATATTACGAAATCATAGCTTTTCCGTTCCCCGCGACGCAGGACACAAAGGACAAGACTTGTTTGTTACATTATTTATATTGACAACTTAAAATGACAAGACGGAAAAGCAAACTCCTCTGACAGAGACGAACAAGAAGACTGACAAGGATTCTCGACTACAAACTCGAACATGCTCCTATCACACATGCACGCGACTAGACGAGCCAGTTTGAGGAATACCATCACACAGGAAAACAACACATCATTAAATGTTCATGCCACCTGCCCCCTTGATGACATTCCACAAAATAATAAACCGACACCACGTTCCACATTCACAGTGGGTTGGTCAAAGACCATAATTGAGATACGAGAGGTACCTGGTTCAAGTCCTGCCTGGGAGCGGTTTTTCCAGCCGTGCTGCTTGCTACCCACAGTCATTTGGGAACTTGTGGCCAGGCACAAGGGGTACATGGATGCAGCTAATGGGGTCGCTTTCGGCACTTGTGCCAGTGGTTGTGAGACTTACCCACTCACCCCCACCGCTAGGCGCTGTATCTGCCGCTAGGGTTTATCGGGTGTTAGCGGCCGTCGTGAGTTCCCTTCGGGAACGGATACGATAATTTACTTTTTTTCTTTTTTTTTTACGTTCCACATTCACAACGGCAAAAGAAACCACAGCAACAGAGAAAAACCAAAACCAGCTAGCTTACATTGTAGCACAACAAGCTAACAACAAGCCAACAGAACCCAGAGACAACGCTCTAAAGAAAAACGGGCCACTACACAGGGCCGACCAAAACCACAAGAGCCAATGGTCTATTTATAGACACGCAAGGCCAACCGAAACGCGGGATCCGAAGCCCCAACAAAATAATAACATGCGCACAGCAGCGCAAAATAAGTCTACAACAGAAAACCAATGGAGAACAACAGAACGACGAGAAGAGCAACAGAACGACAACAACCAAACTCAACCAATAAAACAACAATTGAACAAGCAATGAGCTGAGCAGAGAGAGAACACCACAGCGAGCAAGACAAAAACAAGACGAACAACAAGGACGACACACAATCGGTGATGCCAGACTCGTCCACTGGCCTCTGGCGAGCCACGGCCAAACGCTCAATTGCGGTTCCTGCCGTCCCAGGCTCCAGTCCACAGTTTTAGTCTCAATCCATCACCTCCTCCGCCTCCTTTCAATCGTCATGCGCTCCCATCAGCTCTTCATCTTCTCCGCTCCCACACTTACTTTGACTTCAAAGTTACTTTTTTTTTTGATTCCCACCTTCCAACCCGGCAAATATTTAGATTTTGATAAAAACTATTCAAAGCCTCTCAATTATTTTGCAATACTTCTAAATATAACCCATACATCCTGTACACACACCTTGTACACACTCTCTCTAACGGTCTCTAGGCTACACTGCAATTGATATACATTAGATCAAATTTTCGGGCAAGGCCCATCATCAGGAATAAGTCTACTGTAGACAAAACAGGGATTTATATATATACAACGTGACAAGTACTAGTGGCCAAAGGTGTGATGGTATAGCGTAAAATGTTGCAATACCACAGGAAGCGAGATTATTATGTGTGAATATAGTGCAGTGATAGTGCAGGATTACTAATGTGAGTACAAAGCAGAAAAATACACACTTCTAGCAACACACACACACACATACATACACACACACACACACACCACACACACACACACACACACACACACACACACACACATTTAACGTAAAACCGCTGGACTGCTGAACAATCGCATCCTCCGTGAAACAGCTGAGGTCACGTCACAGTCTCTTTCCGCCCTTTTCAACCGCTGCTTGCTGTCCAGTACTCAGCCCAGGGAGTGGAAATCTGCCGTTGTTGTACCTGTGTTCAAGGGAAAAGGTAATCCTTCTCACCCAGTCAATTACCGTCCTATATCGCTGTTAAATGCAGTTGCCAAATTGTATGAGTCTATGATTAGCCGTCAGTTTTACTCGTTTGTTGAGAGCCATAAAATTATCAGTTCCAGCCAGTTTGGCTTTTGTCGAAAGAGGTCAACAGTTGACCAATTGGTACAGCTTACCTCAATTGTTTCGCGTGCATTTGACTCTAAGTCTTCTTGTGACCAGCTGTTCCTTGATTTTTCTAAGGCCTTTGACAGAGTTAGTCATCATTTAGTTATTCAATCTGTTTCAGGTTGGTGTTCTCTTTCTGCCTGTTCTTGGGTGAAGGACTTCATCAGTGATCGTAGTATTTGCGTTCGCATTGGTCAAACTCTTTCTGACCCTTTGCCCATCACCGCTGGCGTACCCCAAGGTTCCCATCTCGGCCCGCTTCTTTTTAACCTGTGCATCAACTCCTTTCCTGATGCCCCTGCTTCTAGTACCCTATCCCTTTTTGCTGATGACTCTAATTTAATTCTTGTTTCTCCAGCAAACACCTCACTTCCTATCCATCATGCATTGCTCCAGACTGACATTGATAAGTGTTGTCAATGGTCATCAGCTACTGCCATGACGTTTAACACCAGTAAATGCGTCCACCTACCCTTTCAAAAATATGCATTAGCCCCCGGCCCGTCATCCCCATTGACAATGAACGGTGTGCCTATTCAGAAAGGTGATAGCCACTGTCATCTCGGCGTGACTATCACTCCTTCACTAAATTTTTCTGACCATATAAAATCTATCACCCATAAGTTTCGCAGTCGTGTTTTTCTGTTGCGCCATATGGCCCATTTCCTTTCTGCTTCAACCGTGAATTTGCTCTACAAGTGTTACGTACGACCACTGTTAGAATACGCAGTCCCTGTCTGGTCATTCGCCGTATCCCATTCAGATTCGCTTACGTTAGACCGACTGCAAGCCGTTGCTGCTCGTTCATATCTGCTTTGTAAGACCCGGCACCCTCCTGAGTGGGAAACCCCGAAGCAGATTCTTAATCGTACTTGTGACTGGTCATCCCTGAAGTGGCGTCGTCAGATTCTGTCCTTGCTGTATTTTCATCATGTCTTTTACCAGTTTCCGTCTTTGCTAATTCGTTTCAAATTCAATGTATCCCTTAGTTGTCGTCACCCGTCCTCTATAGTTTTACCTCGTTCTGGCGCCCATTTCCTTAAATCCCCTCTCTTCAGTTTATCTGTGGAATGGAACAAACTTCCAGAACACATCCGCTGCGTTCAGTCCTCCGTCAATTTTCGCATTGCTCTAAAGGCTCATTACTCTCAGCATAGATATTCTCTGACTGGAATTCCGAACTTTTCCGTTTGAGAATTTTTTTTCCTTGAAATTAATCCTTGCTGGGTTTTTTCATCTAAATGTCCCGCTATTATCTGCAGAGGTGATTTCTTCCCTCGTCGATTTCTTTCCTGCTTTTATACCTCGATATTTAGGTACTTGTTTCCCTTCTTCCCATGCTTCATCTTCCACTCTCCTCTCCCCATTTCCCCATTTTTCTTGCGATATTTATGTGGGAGACTTCCGTGATAAGCATCCATTTGCTTTTGGAGAATCCTTTTAAATAAATACAATACAATACAATACACACACACACACACACACACACACACACACACACACATACACAGTGCACAAATTCTTGCACAAATTATGACAGATATATTTACACATCACCCAACAGTCGCCAACCACTGTCACTGTTCACTGCCGGCTTCCTCTTCCTCATGAATAGTGCCTCCATGATTCTGCAGTCAACGTAAGACCGTTGCTTGCTGGCGAGAACTTGTAGATGGGAAAATGGCGAGAACTGCGGTGACGATGGGAAGGTGTGCTGCTTTTGTCGATAATGGTCTCCCCATGGCTTTCCCAATGTCGCGTTCTTGGCTTGTCTGTAGTGCTCCTCAGTCCTCTTGCGTGTTGTCCTTTCTGTTTCCCCGACGTATTCTTCTTGACAGATGGTACATTTCATAGAGTACACCACATCTTGGGACATACAAACATTACGCTTCAGACCACCATCGCATGCACGACATTCAGCCGGCCGACCCCGCCCCCTCTTCTCCCTCTGCCGCTGTACCGTCCTGGGGCATTGTGGCTTGCTGAATGACGACGAGACCAACATATCCTTTAGTGAGCGACCGGACGTAAAGACCACACGCACATCTCTATCAAACGACCTGACCACTTGACGAACCCTCCTTGCAAGCTGGTCATTTACATACGGTACCTTGACAAGTGACGTGTACTGTCGTTTCCCCTTCCGATGTGGTGTCTGCTGGTGGGGCTGCTCTCGGATGCGTGCGGTTGTCCGTGCGGTGTCGGAGTGTTGTATGGCTGATTGTATAATGCGCCGTGGGTAGTAGTTCTCAAGGAGGAGTGTGGTGATCTGTGATTTGTCGTCCTGCCCCCGTTGTTGCGTTGTTGACTGCCCTGCTGATCTGGTTGTTGGCGACAGCGATTTTTGTTTCCATTGGCAAAGCAGACAAATATGACAAATGTACATCAATATGGGACGACTTGACAAATAACTCCCAGTCCAACTTGCCACCTGACACCGAGATTGACAGGTCCAAGTAACTGATGGTGTGAGAGTTGGTCGTGTGTGTATATTCTGCGGTGAATTGTATGCGTGGGTGGCGGGAATTGAGATAATCCACAAATGCCAGAAATGCCGCAATACCAAAGATCCAAACGAGTATGCAATCATCAATATACCGACGACGTTGGGAAAGCCATGGGAAGACCATTATCGACAAAAGCAGCACACCTTCCCATCGTCACCGCAGTTCTCGCCATTTTCCCATCTACAAGTTCTCGCCAGCAAGCAACGGTCTTACGTTGACCGCAAAATCATGGAGGCACTATTCATGAGGAAGAGGAAGCCGGCAGTGAATAGTGACAGTGGTTGGCGACTGTTGGGTGATGTGTAAATATATCTGTCATAATTTGTGCAAGAATTTGTGCACTGTGTATGTGTGTGTGTGTGGGTGTGTGTGTGGTGTGTGTGTGTGTGTGTGTGTGTGTGTGTATGTATGTGTGTGTGTGTGTTGCTAGAAGTGTGTATTTTTCTGCTTTGTACTCACATTAGTAATCCTGCACTATCCCTGCACTATATTTTCACTTCATACATATCACACATAATAATCTCGCTTCCTGTGGTATTGCAACATTTTACGCCATACCATCACACCTTTGGTCACTAGTACTTGTCACGTTGTATATATATAAATCCCTGTTTTGTCTACAGTAGACTTATTCCTGATGATGGGCCTTGCCCGAAAATTTCATCTTATGTATATCAATTGCAGTGTAGCCTAGAGACCGTTAGAGAGAGTGTGTACAAGGTGTGTGTACAGGATGTATGGATTCAAGTATTGGCTACAGTGGAGTCTCCAAACCTTGAGAAAAGTGTTTCTAAATATAAGAATAATAATAATACTTTCACACAAAACAAGCTCGGTGCAGCACTAATCACGGGAGGGAAACCCGACCCTCCACCATCGCCAACTCACGAAGCATGTGAACTGGACGGTGACGAGCCGACCGAGCACCACGGACACACAACACAGCGTAACGTAGCAGCGCGAAAGACACCGGACAGCGATAATATCCAATCAACGGCAAATAGCTACCTCCCGAAGATTGAGACGTGAGCAGGCAAAGATGCCTCAGGAAGGCCGTGGATGCCGGCCCAGCTGGCCCATTCACGGAAAACACCACAGGTGCAAAGGCACCACGCTCAACATTCACTACTCTCTCCTGATATTGAAGGCTCTTAACGCCCTCATGTTGCCGGAAGATCGCGTCCAAGCTTCTGGCGCATAGCGCATAGGAAGAAGCGTCAGGATTAAACACCCTTTCATCAAAAAGTGCATCTTGACCACGCGTCCAGAAACCTCGAGCGCTCACATCAAGGCTTAGATTCCAACGTCTAACTCGGGAGGGGGCTTGGCATTGGTTGCCCCTCCGACGCAACCAATTGCTCCATCGTGAGCCTTGAGACGCCGTGCTCTGGGTGAGGCGATCCAGAAAAACCTATGGGGGGGGGGTGGTGGGGGGCTGCTGGAAACACGCTCGTCCATGTCAACTCAAGAAGACGCCGGATCATGTCGTGGGTGGCCTGACAATTTGGCCAGCAATACCTCCTCCCTTCGACAGCTGTCGTCCTGCATTTGCTGGAGGATTATATTACGGTAAGCAGGGGGGATAGGCAGAAGCCAAACCGGTGGCGCATCTGCGTGAAGCATACAGTCCTCGCTGAAGGACGCCGCTCTGGCTGATACTCGCTTTTCTTCGCCAATCACCGACGAGGGGCCACACGTAGGTTCAAACTACTACAAATACATACATCAAACTATTCACTGCGACATGTTATGTTGTATCAGGCCTCTTTTATGGGCAAATTAACACAATGGTTTAAAATGCAATAAATCATACACTGGAGAAGAAATAAAATAAAACATGTGTAAAAATAGAATGTTATGTTCGCCTCAAGCTCTGCGTGTCCGACTCGCACTCTCAGACAACACAAAATCCCTGGACAGACAACTGACTTCTTCCAGAAACTCAAACGAATCTATGCGCTCACGGACAGGGTTACCCTGACCCGTGGCAAAGCGGTTTCCATGACGTCGCGTCAACATACACATCAAGAACGAGATTGCATGGTCTTCGCAAAATGCACAGCAGACACAGCTACGGCACAAAAGAACACTCCGACTCAAAGGAGATTCAGAAGTAACTAACGTCAGCCCTGTATTTGGTCATTGAGGAGCACAAAGGCCGCGAACGTCAAATAGAGTTCAAAAATAAACAGGAAACTGATGCTCTACGACGACGAGCTAGCTGCGAACAGTCGATGAAACGCGAAAATGACAAACGGGGTGGGCTGGTTGCTGAAAACCTACAAAGCGACGAATATCTACTTTAACACGGTTTGTATGTGATTTTGTACCTAGTATGTTTGCAGCTTAAAGTTCAGAAGTGTAGCGTTGGTTTTCTGGTATTTGAACGTTTGTAAATACATAAGACTCGGTACAATTTGATTCTAAGAACACAGCCAGATTGCTGAAACAATAACGTCCCAGGCTAACCCCTTGGTAAAAACGTTCTTCAGCACGAGACTCTACTGTATATGCATGGGTGAACACCTCTGTGGGTTGGGTCTACAAGAGAGCGAATAAGGTAGGAAGTATACTTCAAATATGTAACTTAGTGGTCATCATTGAGGGTGTATGGTTGTGTGTGCAGGTGATTGTGTGTAATTATCCATTAAAGATGTACATGTTTGTTTTGTGTGTGGACGTGTGTGTTCAGTATCATGGACGGACTGCGGAGCACCTCATGGCAAAATCAAAATGACTGCATTTTTGGAGTTCAAGAGGTCTGACGTAGCCCGACAAAAATGTCAGAATCTCAATGGAGATCTTGCTACTGTTCAATCAACGCTGGAGAGAAATTGTGCGAATGCAGCACTGAATAAAGTGAGAACGTGTACATGTTGCAACTCATGGGGTTCTTATACGTGCGCTCCTGTGTCTGGAACGGGATGGTGTTGGTGTTCTACATGGGTAGGTCTCGCTGGCACAAACTTTTCCAATGGACGGTTTCAATCTTGGACTTGGTACACACCATCCTCCGACACAACATCAAGTAGCATAGCCTGGAAAAGCCTATATCCACAACAATACTATGCCAGCTATCGTGTGTTGTACCATCCTGAAAATGGAGAGTTTCTCAATGTCCCTGACTATACCTATCCCTACCTGTGTCAACAATACTATCCACCAGGTAAGCTGAAAACTTTAGAAATGATGTACAGATCATGCCTGCTCCGTAGATTCTCCACAGGATGCACAACGCTCGCATGCAAGCCAATTGTCAATGCTGCAAAACAAATCTTTTTCTATCGTTCCTGATTTCCTGTTGTACTAATATTATGTACGGAAGTACTGATTTTACGGCCTCATTTGCATGATGGTAATACCATACATAATTGTCCAAATAAGGATATGAGGATTATTCACTCATTACCAGGGTCAGCAGGTAGATTCTACAATATCTTAGGCCGTTCCATGTCACAGTATTATCATGCAACCAGGTAAGGGGTAATAGAATGCAATGTTATGAACTGGAATAATAGAATCCTTGAAATTGTTAATACGACATGCTTTGCAACTAAGCGCCGGGTTTCCAGCCGATACATGAATTTCACCAGATAGCGCCTGAAATAGTACCACCGACTATGATATCATGTTACGATCATCGTTGCGCTCCCTTGTTGACTGTCAATACAACAGAAGATACGACCTATGTATGTGTACGTACATTCATAGCTCAGATGCAGCATGCTCTAACAAATTTCACGTGATCAAAGCTATATTAGACAGGTTCGGCAAGACGTTTTTGGCAAACCTCGACGTGTAGACCTATCAACTGGGTTCGAGGATGATACTTACGCAGTCTGGGGCTCACGACTTGACGTCAATTTGGCTATCTACACGGATCGCGCTCCGCGAAGAATTTTTCAAGAACCTTCGATCTGCGCAGCACTCGAGTGTGGGAATAAGGAACATCATGACATCACTGGAGAAAACCCCGCGAAGTACAATCATCTCTCATTCGAAAAGACAAGGCACATGCTGCTGTCGAAGGTTTCACTTCTGTTTTTTTCGGGGACATGTGAAAGATGGCGGAACCTAGTCTAGCTCCGGATTCTCCACTGGCCCTGGACGTCATTGAATCTCCACTGGCCCAGGGGAAGAAACCCCTACTCCGTTTCAGCCTGGCTGATGATGTGGCCTTGCTGACAGAGGTGGCAACTAGGGACCAGCCATTTCTGTCTTGGTCACCGTTTCCCAGCTCAGCGACTGCCACTTGGACAAGAGAGTCCCACAAATCCATGATTGAAGACAGCAAGCAACAAGCTGAAAAATACTGGAACAAAAACCACAGTCTGCGCTTGAATAACATCTATTATTTTAAACCAACGACCGATATCCATGATACCAAAAATCGAGCTGTCGATGTCGCCATTTTGGTTGTCCCGGAGATGGGGCTTGGCTTGCCACAACGCGAAGCCGAATCAAACTCTAATATAGCTCAGTGGTTTTTCACTGGGGTCCTGTCTCTTTGTGAACTTTCATAGCACTCAGTTGTGCCTTAGCTAGAGCATTGGTAACCCACAACTGCTGTTTTTATTTGCAATATTCATCCTGCAGCACCGCTCAATATAAGTTTGATTTACGGAAGGGTCAATGTACTGCTTGTTTCCACTGTCTTACACCCGGCAACCTACTTGTCTAACATCAGTGAATACTGTTTTACGTACGGACCAGCTCTCACTACAGACACCATTCATAAGGCATACGGTGCGAATCGTGTGTGTGACACTGTTAACTTCACATCGCTCAATTGTACAAGTAACACACTTTACAACATCTCAGTTTATGTGAAAACGGTGGCAGGCCTTTACAGCTCTGCATCGGGATGGTCCACGTTTGCAACTCGTCCTGAAAGTAAGCAGTGGTAAATATTATTTTGATGAATGTTTGGATAACAGTCAGAAGATAATCAACTCGGCGCAGGATACGTGAGGTTCAGTAAAGAAGAAACACACATGTTCCCCATCATCACAAATGTCATACGTAGAGTACTCCTTTTGTTCCCAATGCCTCACGGTTTTTTTGTTTCAATCCGCTGCGTCCTCCTGCAAAGTTGGAAAATCCATCCCCTGCACATCAGGACTTGATCCAGGAATCTCTCGTTCCTGAAAAATGATTTTAGACAAACTCACTGTGAATAACCATTTCCCAAAGGTGCTCTTTTAATTCGCACTTAGTGCTTTTCGCGTGCCTGAACGTATGCTGAAAAAGTGCTCTTTTTCCAGTGAAAACAGGCAAAAGTGCTCTTTTTTCAGTGAAGCATAGCTATGATACATGTTCAGATATGAACGCAAGCTGAGAAATGAATACGCACTCTTCCATTTGTGGGTCCACGAAAGGCAAAACAGAAAGTAAAGCTAAAAAATACCACTTTTTACAGCATTGTGTACACCGGGTACAAGCTTCACCAACTTGTTGCCCCCCCCCCCCCAAAAAACAAGCGGCGTGCCAGAGCCCATCGATCACTCGGAAAATGTGATCGCATGCATGAGCAAACCGATTTTAGCACTTTTTCAGCTAAAAAAGCTCAAAAAGGGCGATATTCACCAAAGAACGCAATAAAGGGCGAAAGGAAAGGCGTTTTCCCAAAAGGGAAAAGGGCGAAAAACAGGGCGAGCACCTTTGGAAAAGGGCTAACTGTGATTACCTGCCTTGTGGCCTGGAACACGGGGGAGAAGGGATGTGACAAATCGGATTTTGGTCTTTGGCCTCCAGTTGATCGACTTGGTCTACGCTCCCCCCCCCCCCCACCCTCCCTCCATCCTCTTACTCCCTGCCACACATGCCCGCGTGCACACACCTGAAACTTTGTACCGTGAACTTGCCAATTGCCGTAGGCAATGATAGCGAAAGAACGAAAGCTGTGACAACTGGCAGACAGGTTTGTAGCGCTTCAGATCGCCGGGACAGCGACACGTCTTCCCGTATGCACAATGATATTCTGGCTCGGTGGATACATCACGAGGTTGAGGACGACTGTGGATAACCTCCCTCCACTCCGAGCAGTTCTGGGCAATGTTGAGCCATTCCTTCTCCCGGACAGGTGAATGAATGCGGTTGAAATTGTCCACAACCACATCCCGTTAACGCTTAAGTTGGCCATGCTGAGGTCGAGTTGCGGAGAGCTCTCCAAACAAGGTACGGTTGGTCAGACGGTCATTGTCTATGCGGGCACAATGGCGGAGCCATCGTAGCCGACGATTGCGGATGATGCCGCCGCTCTCAGAGACGATTTTGAGGGTCTTCAGCAATGTTGTAGATGTGACTGGATCATCCAATTGTGGGTATCTTGAGTTGTCGACAATAGCCCGCGCGCATTGATGGTGGAATGCGTTAAGACGGTGCAGATACGTAGCCTTGGTCGTCCTGGCCTACGCTTTTATACAACAGTGTCGTAAGAAGGAGAGCCACGTAGATACGATGTCGGCATCGCAAGGACAAGGAGCGGTTCCCGAAGGCAGATGCCCGCAAGCAGCCAAAAACCCGAGATGCCTTAGAAATCCACGACTGCACATCATACGCACAAAGACCATCCCAGCGAATTATGGACTCAAAATACGCGCATTTTTCAACGGCCTCGACGGTCCCATTCCCAAGATGAACGGGCTCACTGGTGGGAGTATTGATTATGCTTTAGGTTTTTTACAGACACGCAAAAACACACACGCACAGCAATAAATTTACGAACTGCATGTGATGTTTTGTGTTAGGGTTTTGGCGTCCCACGGAAGCTGGCACAATGGTTCTTGACCCGGTCAAGACACGAATTCGTAGTAATCTTCACTGTATGATGTTTGTACCTGTACATTGTATGTGTGCTGCAGGTCCATCCGGGGTAATAATACATACAGTCACCGATACGTATGTCACACTAAAGGTCAACGTTACAGTACACGGAAACCTGCCCATTGTAACGTACCGGTTCCGATTTGAAGACACAGTGAACAAGCCACAAGTATACACGTTTTCATCCCAAAAATCTATCTATGTGCGTATAAAATTGACTGCCGACACACACTATGGCGTCTCTGCACGGATAAAAAACAAGTACGCCTGGAGCTGGCTTTCCAGTCGAACGTATATCAGGACCTTACCCTCAGGTAAGTGCTTTTCTACTGAACAAAATCTTTGTTTGAAGACTCTACACGTAGCTCCTGATAGTAAATACTATTTTGATATATTCTGACAAATAGTGGTAATCTCAAACCGAACATCACACACTCTCCCTAGCTGCAAACAATTTCGTCATCTTTCAAGTCCATCCTATTTCACCATTACTGACATAATTATCGTGTCGAGTTGATATCCGACATTACACTGTCTCCATAGTATTTAGATAGGCACGTTTGTTCACAGCAGTCATGTTTAGACTCTGCCTGTCCTGCAACGTCTAGGCAAAAAGGTGCACCTACATACTTCAGTAGCTGTTAAGTACTTGAACATACTTGGGCATATTACGTACTTGTGCATACACAGAACAACAAAGGAAAGACTGGTTTGTCGCTTCTCTGAGTTTCATACTTACGCAATGATAGGCAACATAAGAATGTTATTGGCCATGGCAGTATTTATGCAAGGAGAGGTAATGGTGGATACAGTGCGGGTATTGATTTGGTATACCTTTGCGTTTGTGCTTGTACATACTTGGAGACTGGCCTCATGGTGGTGCGTGGTCATGGTTACCAATTGGAAAAATTGCAATCTCCATCCCTGTTATGATTCTAGACAATCTGCGTATCGTAAATTTTTTTGAGGGAAAGTGTCTGCGATTGCCTTTGTGTTACAGCACCATCAAAACTCACTCTAACAACCACGGACACTGAAATCAGCGTAGCTCTGAAGGACACCTACAAATCAGAAATTTCCAAGTATTGCTTCATTCTGAATGCAGCAAAGCCCCTGCACAAGGCAATGATCTGTCATGGTGCGCACGAGGTCAGGTTCTTAGGGTTGACCAGCAATGTGCTTTACTCTGTGAGGGCCTTTGTTGCAACAGTTGATGGTCGGAACAGTACTCCGTCTAAAGCTGTGACTATCAGAACCAAACCGACGGATTCCAAAGCTAGGACGAATCATTCAGATACCACCATAGACAGAACCAGTGGCTCTCAGGAGAGCTCAAGCGGTTCTGGATCTGCAGCAATAGGTGCTGGTGCTGCTGGTGCTGTACTGCTGGTGCTGGTCGTGGCCGTTATCCTTCTCTGGAAATTCAGGTTGATACCTCTAAAATATTTCCAGGGTACGTACAATGCCGTGATAAAATTCTTCATTTGCTCATGATATATTCGTTTTTCACTGCTTTAAGATTCCGAAAATTGCCGAAAGCACTCAAGAAATTGTTAGAAAACATTCCTAGCATAATATCTTTAAAACAGGTGCTCCATTTACCCGGAATATCTTTAAATCATACCGATCAACAAATTGCAATGGTATTGTTGTTTGCCTTGATGACTCACTTGCACTTATAATACCATGCCAGACTGTTGACCTTATTGGGGGAGTAAGGTTCTGCTGGTTCACACTACGGCTACCCGCATCGAACAACGCAGCTGCTCAGTAAATATTCTCATGTGTTTGCGATGTACAATGTTAGTGGTTGAGAGCTTGAGAGTGTAACGGAATCTCAGTCATTCCGTTCCCCGGGACGCAGGACACAAAGGACAAGACTTGTTTGTTGCATTATTTATATTGACAAGACGGAAAAGCAAACTGCTCTGACAGAGACGAACAAGAAGACTGACAAAAGGACTGTCGACTACAAAATCGCGCATGCTCATATCACACATGCACGCGACTAGACGAGACCGTTTGGGGAATGCCATCACACAGGAAAACAACACATCATTAATTTTCATAACACCTGCCCCCTTGATGACATTCCACAAAATAATAAACCGACACCACGTTCCACATGCACAACAGCAAAAGGAACCACAGCAAAACAGAAAAACCAAGAGCCGATGCTCTAAAATAAAATCCGGGCCACGACACAGGGCCAAACGAAAACCTAGAGCCGACGCTCTACAAACCAGGCATACAAGGCCAACCGAAACACGAGAACCGAAGCTCTCAAACTAATACCGTGCGCACAGCAGCGCAAAATAAATCTAAAACACAAAACAATGGAGAACAACAGAACGAATAGAAGAGCAACAGACCGGCAGCAACCACTGAAATAACACAGCAACAAGCAACGAACTGAACAGAGAGAGAACAACACAGCGAGCAAGACAACAAGACAAACAAGGACGACACACAGTCGGTGATGCCAGACTCGTCCACTGTCCTCTGGCGAGCCACGGCCACACGCTCCGTCGCGGTTCCTGCCGTCTCAGGCTCCAGTCCACAGTTATATTCCACCACCTTCTCTGCCTCCTCTCCGCGTCATCTTCCGCTTCCACCAGCTCCTCACCTCCTCCGCTTCCACGCTCTGTTTACTTCAAAGTAACAGTTACTTCGTTTTTGACGACGACGACGACGAACAGACTCACTACAAACTAACTCATCCTCTGCGTCCCGGGTTTCGCCACCATTTTGTTATGGAATCTCAGTCATTCCGTTCCCCGGGACGCAGGACACAAAGGATAAGACTTGTTTGTTACATTATTTATATTGACATGACGGAAAAGCAAACTGCTCTGACAGAGACGAACAAGAAGACTGACAAAAGGACTGTCGACTACAAAATCGCTCATGCTCATATCACACATGCACGCGACTAGACGAGACAGTTTGGGGAATGCCATCACACAGAAAAACAACACCTCATTTCATAACAAGAGAAGAGAGTTTTAGCAACTCGTAAACTAGTACGAGTCCGTTATCGACTCCAATGACTAGCGACTGGGTTCGAGTCGCGTTTCGAGCCGCAATCTTGCCCTTCTGAGCTCGTTGACGGTTCTGTACGAATCACAGGCAGTTGGTTCGTTCTGGTCTACGAGTCCTAGCTGGCTAGAGATCCTTTGTTTTGATTTTAGTTCAACAATCTACAAGCGGCGTAGAGATTTTGTTCAAAAAGAGTTTGATTTGAGAAGAGGGAAGCTTCGACTACGTTACTTGAAGTTCAACCCCTCACTCTTTCTTTCTTTTGCTGGTGGATGATTTCAATCCTCCTGTCCATCTTCTGCCATACTGCAAGATCATTGATGAAGAGGAAGTACCGGTAGTCTTGCTTTTTTCCTTTAATTGTATGAGGAAATCCAGTGGTGTGTATGATTAGGAGTCGCTTCCTCAGCTTGGTTCAGACAAGCTCAGCCGGAACGCCAAACTATTTCGATTTCCCCTGCGAGTACGGAAACGAGTGGCTCCTACAACACGCTTTGGACAAGATCTCAACTCCTTCTAGTGTGCATTCTAGCGCACAGACCGTTGCCGTGCAAGTGCGAGCGCTAGCGCATATCGCGACTATCAACTAGTTGCTAAAACTAAACGCAATGGGTAGATCTACGAGTCGTAACGTGAAATTCATTTTCGCTGTCTTTCACGAGTTGCTAAAACTCCCTAGTTGTACGTTTTTTGGCACGAAATCATCAAAATTATGAGCATGATGTGTTCTCGTCAACAAGTAAAATGTTACATAATCGTGAAGTTTGCATTCGCCCCAAACGAGCTCACATTCTAAAGGTACTATAAAAGAACGCAATAATTGATCTTGAAGGTCCCCCCCCCCCACACACACACACTTCAACCACTGTGATCGGTACTGTACGTGTTCAGAAAGGGTATAATATTCAGATGAAGAAACATAGAAGAGAGTCACGAAATGTCACAGCCATGCGTGTCCGCTGGCTATGACATAACAAAGCAGCTTTACTATTTGATTGGAAACTTGAGAACGTTGACGCATATTCAGCGACTTGATATTCAACAGTGGGTCCAATGTCAATAGGCATTTTGCCTGTTTTGATTTCCACTATAAATATAGTATACAACAACAACAAGTGGTTCTTCGTCATGTTCATTTTATTTCCTTGCTTACAGGTGGTGAGTTGGATCTAGGAAATCAGTCTGTGTCCAACCATCATTCTCAGGAACACGAGACCATGGAGAATAACTTTGTAAGAAGAAATTAGAACTTGACTCAGAACAGATGCATTGACCACAAGAGCCATGACCGACTTGGTGCATTCAGCATTGTAACAGATTATTTGTAGGCTAGTAACTCGGTTACGGTAAAAGCCATAATTGGTAAATGGAATCAATGATTTTTCAATGGCAGTACATTAGACCAAAGATTAGTTTAGGGCCTGCAATATAACATGGTATTTTGAATGCCTGACTGGATTCATGAGGTAATCAACTTTAGAATCACACTGCTTGCCTCCATATTGTGCTGTTTTGTTGTAGGATGCGAATGAGCGGAACGTCAGGCCAGAAAGCAATGCCAGACGTCGTCCTGCTTGTGCATCAGATGATGATTATGGTGGTCCTATCTATTCTGCAGTGAGTGAATTACCTACCCTTTTGGATAATCTTCTAATTTTCAGGTGCAGGGTACCAGATTGAAAAAAGGATTCGAGTCAGGATGAAGAATATTTCCATCAGTTCTGGCAAGGGAACTTGATTGAAGGGAATGGGCTTTTCGGTCTGGGAGCTCTTTCAATTGGGCCTGATCTGCTCACGTCGTACCCCTTCCGGAGCTACATCTGCACCTTGAAATTGGGAATTTGTCTGCATTGACAATATCCAGTCTGAATCTCACACAAGCCTGATTTTCAAAGTCGAGTGTTCCTGAGTGTTCTGAATTTGGGACTATTTTGCTTGTATGATCCAGGCAGACATAGTGGAATGGTCTGAGACCATGATTGAGAGTCAGAAAGTACAAGGTTCAAGTCTTTCTTAGAACCCGTAAGGATTTTTCCAGCAGTGCTGTGACCCATAGGTAATTGGGAACTCGTGGCTTGGCATGAAGTAATCATAGATGCAGTTAAGGGAGTTTTTGATCCAAGACAACGGTTACATTCCTGCGGAAGCGGAAAACTCGCCATCCCCCCACATTTCACGCGAAACGAGATGTTTTTTTATGTTTTTTACGTGTGTGCACGTTGTGTACTATTATGTCGGTGTACGTGATTACACACACGCATTATGTGGACATCTGTGCAGGTGGATGAGCCAGCGGATTCCTCTACCAATGTAAGTATTGCCACTTTTTGAATACGCATAGTTTTGTTGTGGTTGTGTGTGTGCGTGTGTATGTGTGTGTCTGTCTGTCTGTCTGTCCCATTTGGAGAAGTGATTTCCAATCGAGAGGTCGCGCGTTTGATTATCCACGATTAAGGTCTCAAACATCTTTTTTCTCATTCTCAGACTCCTCCTAACTTTTCTTTCATTCTCTTGGATGGTTACCAAAAGCAAGTGGATGACGGAGTATGTGGTGTTATGTGTGAGCGAAAAAAAATAAAAAGACCAAAAAGTAGGGATTCACTGGCCAGAAAAAAAGCAACTTCATAACTGTATGGTGTAGAGAAGGCTGAGCAGTGGCGGTCGTTTGCAAGCTGTTGAGTTGGGCATTTCCAGCGCAAGTTCCTACGGCTTCTGCTTTAGCATTGCTAGCATGGCCTCTAGCGATGGGCTTCAAAAGGCTTCATGTGTATTGTGTGTGCGTGTATCGATAGGTTGTGTGATTTGCGTGTGTGTGTGTGTGTGTGTGAAAATAACTGATGCATCGAACTGAGATTTTAATTGGCAGTGCTAATGGAAGGCCATGGTAGCTCCATATTTTATTAGTGTCTTATGGAGCTGCAGGAGGCTGCACATAGTGCTATTCACTGGGAAATTTTCAAAACTCATTTCACGGTTATGCATGCAGGCTGCATCTTGCAGACCTGCTCCGTCAGCTCTGGAAAGTTCTTACACTGCTATCGGAGCTCACATACAACCCACTCGTGGCCGGGGAGTTCTAACAACACTGATGAGACCTATGACAACACGGACTTCGTATCCAAGCCTTCGCACGCAGCAGACTGTGACAGGGTAGAGTTGAGAATATGGGGAAATGAAGAAGAAACTGCAGGTGAAAGTGATCATGAGATGCTCTCTAATTCTTTAAGTAAATAGTTCCTAACAAATCAGTGTATGGGACATGGTGAAAGTATCGATCTATTGATTTGATTTTGTGTGCAGTGGCTTGGTACAAGCAAACCTTTCTAGGCTTGTTTTGTTTCTCAACACAATAATGCTTAGCTGGTTGAACATGTATCAAGAAAGCTCTTCGCCGTTATTTTGTCTTGTTGAGCGCTCTCTGTAGGCCACTTTAAGTTGCTGCTGCATTTAATACGCATCGCTTGCTACTTTTCGTAGTTTTACCTCTCTGGCGCTAAAGCAACGAGTTTTCTTAATGTCCGTTGTGCCACCTTTCCACCATGGCTCGCAACTCGGGTTATTTACAGCTCGTAGCTATACTGGTGATGCCCTAATGGCCGAAACAGCTTTCCCTCTATAGCATTGGGTATATTGCTCCTCGACATTTGTCTTGTTTAGAACTCTCTCTCTCCGTAGGCTGATTTAGTGTTGTTGCGTTATGCACTACTCGCTACCTTTCGCAGCTTGAGGGCTACGGCGCTGTTGCCACCTTTGCACCATGGCTGGCAACTTGACTTACCTACATAAAGCTCGCAGCTGTACTGATGGGGTCTTTTTAGCCGAAACAGCTTGCTGTGTACAGCATTGGGAAAGTAATATTGTTTTACGTCCTACCGCGTTCATTTTACACGATCATGCCTGTAGATGAATTGCACAATGCCTACGGCACATTTCGGCCTTTTCATTGCTGTAGCATTTTTCTTAATTTTTTCTATGCCAATATCAAGGTGTGAGCGATTTTGCTGTCTCTTCAGTAGTTTCCTACGGTAAACAGTGAGTAGTGATTGGAGACCAGCAGGACTATAGGTTACCCAATGCTGATTTTAGACTAACATTCTTGTCGTGTTTTCTTTTGGTCAGGCCGAGACTGAGGGCAATACATATGCCCATTTGCACAAAGGTCATAGGCAGGAGCATGCAGTGCTGGATGTCCACTACCAAAACACAACCTTACCGTTGTCCTCTGAGGAAGTTGAGGTAAAGTCATTGGAAAAGCTGAAACATATCACCCTTTATTATTCCGATACATCACAGCATCACTTTTGTTCACTCGATATTATTCCCGTAACAGGGTGCATCTGCCATTCGGCAAATGTTCGCCTTTGTTCAAGTGCCACAACAAAGCAGAAAATGTCCAGAGGCGTGGACAAAGACCGCCGTTTTTGTGCAAGAATTGAAAGAAGGGCGGCATATAGATTTTGGCAATATCCCAGCTAGTGTTAATTTATTAGACATTATCTTTCTTTACGGAGTTGTTGTTGCTGTTCATTTTGCTACTCTTTCCTTTCCCTCCCCTTACTTCTACTTATCGCCGTGGTTGGCAATCACCCACTCTCTTCACATTGGCCGGTGTTTCCACCGAGTCTTGAGATGTTGTAATAAGTATATAATATACAAGTAATAATATACACCAACCGTGTGCTTTGCACATCAGTCCAATTTTTTTTTAAGTGTACTTTGGTCATATATTTATTACAACATCTCAAGACTCGGTGGAAACACCGGACAATGTTTAGAGAGTGGGTGACTGCCGACCACGCGAAAAATAAGAGTAAGGGGAGGAAAACAAAATAATACCGTAATTGGAACACAAAGAGTTGACAATGACAGATAGAATTTTGGAATTTTCTTTTCATGGGTAATAAGTATAAATGTCTGTCCTAAAGATTAATACCGTCTCTGAGTGCGTTCGACATGGATTGTGAATTGTGACGGCACACATAACATGCTCCCTCATGTTTGCAATAAACTGTGTAAGGAAAATAAGCTGCCGAAAATGAATGCCAACAGAACCCAATTTCGTACAGTTTTGCTTGATTGATTTTCATTTTCCATGTTTATTGTTCTGCCTTAGACGTTTGAACGGGCACATAGCGAGGGGTACAGTGCTCTTCAAAGGCCAAAGGTACGTTTTGGGTTAACTTCAGTTAACTTTTTGGTATGTGCTTCCCTGATCTGCTCCCTGTCTGGGTTACGAAACACAGCAAACGGCGTATCATGGCGCGACTTGCACCGAAAAGAAAAGTTGCCTGTGCAAACACGTCCACGACTGCAAAGGCCTGTAGTTCGGGAAGATGTAGATGGTGAAGGATAGTGAAACGTGCGATTACTACAGGCTATAGGTCCTCTAGGGCAGTTTCCGGTCGATCAAGGTCTTTCGATGCCGTATACAATACGTATATGTTATCGCATGGTTGCAAGGGCCTTATGGCATATTATTGCCCCGAGAGGTTAGCCCGAGGGCCGTAGGCCCAAGGGCTAACCTCGAGGGGCAATAATATGCCATAAGGCCCGCAGCAACCATGCGATAACAAATTTATCACATGGCCCACAGAGCAGACCATTGGGGTGCTGTTGAAATTAGCCCAAATGCCAACACATTATGACCACAATGTATATTATAGCAATAAAAACTGCTTTATGGCAGTTTTCTAAAAAAAGTTATTGTGTTCTAGTCCATGGACCTCGTCTAAAAAGTAAGAAATTAACGAAATGTGATAGCTGAAAATTAAAATTTCACACAAAACCTCACAATAATCACAACACTTGAAATGCTGTTTTAAACTTTAACTTGTACTGCACCAACAATTGGCAACATGCATGCATAGGAAAGAGGATCACGAGGGGAAAAGGTCGTCTACATGTAGCTTTTAATTCTGTGTGTGATTATTGTGAGGTTTTGTGTGAAATTTTAATTTTCAGCTATCACATTTCGTTAATTTCTTACTTTTTAGACGAGGTCCATGGACTAGAACACAATAACTTTTTTTAGAAAACTGCCATAAAGCAGTTTTTATTGCTATAATTTCTTTTGTTTTTTTCTGTCACCAATCAATGGAATGCCCTATATCAATAATTATGTAAATGATGGCCTTCACATCATATCAATACCGTATTATACGCATTGATGTGCAAGCCTTTTCTTGCAGAAAATGGCACTAGCATAATGCATGTTCTTCTGCGGGGAAACATGTGAGTAGTGGTGGTGATGCTTTTTATACGGAGGTCATTCTGTGCATGTTGCTGTTGCAGAATTTCATGACTCTGTCATAAATTTGTCTTGCCTTTCAGATATTTCAGATTTCCCCACCCTCGATCAGATTTATTTGAGAAATGTAGCCATGCGCCAGGTGCGTGTCCCAGATGTTTTTGTTGATTCTGTGTTTATAATGGTTTATAATCATGGGTTATCGTGATAAGGTCATCCAGCATCATATTGCACTGAAATCGTAATCCTGTTGATGTCGATACAACTTTTGGAAGTAGTTCAATGACTTCAAACTGTTAGTCCACGATTTTCTAAAATAACACAGCAAAGGAGGAACAATAAACATGTATTATAATGTAAACGAATACATTGCTGAGTCCGACACCTCGTTCCAAGAACTAAACTGATCCTGAGTATAAAAGGGTCAAGGCTATTATTATTATTATGAAATGACCCAAAGGCAACGTGCCTATCGAGGGGTTCATTTGATTGAAAGAACAGTAGATGTAGATGTATGTACAAAGACAAGTATGGTTGGAGGTACTGATACTGAGAGATAAACAAGGCACTCCATGATAATAAAATCTTACACATCTTTTGGTGAGTATGAATGATATCCAGTCGAACCTCTTTAGGACGAACACCAAGGTACCGATGGTATTTTATTCTGTGAGTTTGTCTTAACCTATTTTATAACCAATGAATACAATTTTTTCTCCAATAGACATGCGAATAGATTTCTTCTACAGTGAAAGATTCTAAGCCACACCGACTCATCTCGTATGAAACAAATGAGTCACTAGAGAGGTTCTGCAGAACGAAAATGCGTACAAACTTTCGCTCTACATCATGAAGTGCAAAACTTCGCATGAACTTTCGCAACTTTGGACGCGAAACTTACATGGAACGCCAAATGAACTGTCGTAGGAAATTTCGTGAGATCGGGTCATCTTGGCGTACGTGCACTTGGCCCGCGCAAACTACGAAAATGTGCAGAACGCAAAGTTCGTGCAAAAATTCGTACACACTTTCGCAAGGCCTGTCGCAAAAATTCGTTCGAATTTTCGTTTTGCAGAACCTCTCTACTGAACCTTTCTTTAGCAACATGACGGCAACTGAAACAGCAACAGAGAAAGTACGATACATGTACTGCACATTCTTGCAGGTACTACAAACAGATTGCAGATCGTAATTCTTGCTTTGGCGGCACGAAACTTTATTTGGGGCAGTGCAATCTCGGCGGTACTCACAAATCAAACAGCCCAGACTCGAGTAAACAAATCCAAACATACAAGTAGGAGATTTTCACGAGACGAGACTGCACCCATTGCCTTGTTTTGTATGAAGCAAACAAGTTACTGAACCTCTCCACAATGGAGATTTTCCCTGATATGCGAATTTATTTGGCAAACTCGGTCAATGAGTCCTTGAACCTTTCCCTCTAGATTGCGAACTGCCAACGATAGTATGCCACTGACCAGTGCCTTACTTGTAACGTACTAATGTGCAATGAATATGAGTCTTTCGACAACACATCTAACATAAGCCTTACCGTCAAGAAGGTGAACTCGCGTTCTTGGCACACTGTAGACAAGGGCAAAGAGATAAAAATGGATCTAAATCCGAATAAAATCAGCACACGTTTCCGTAAATGAAAGGGTGAGCATAAGCAAATGAATCGAAGGAAACTGGTCAACTCAGAGATCACCTGTCATTGAGTATTCCGTAAAAGGAGGCCTCGGCTGCGGAAAAGCTAAATTGTGAGAAAGGAGATCCTGTCAGCTTTTCCATTATTTATTGCATTCCGCCCAAAATCAGCACACGTTTCGTAAATGAAAGAGTCAACACAAGCAAATGAATCAAAGGGAACTGGTCAACTCACCTGTCATTGAGTAATATTCCGCGAAAGGAGGTCTCAGCAGCGCCGAAACGAAATAAGCCAGGCCAGGAGACGAAATATCCGAAACAGGTCATGTAAGAAGCAGTTCCAAAGAAGGAAGTTCCTCGTGCATGCACATCCGAAAAGGCAACAACAAAAAGTCTGCAATGCACAGGCATGCGGCCAGCCGGCCGCGCGATGGTACTTGTAGGAGCCATGGACCAGGTACCGAGCATCTTACGTAGAAACTTACGTAGCTACGTAGACAACGTGTCTGAATAGCGGTGTCGTTAGGTAGCGCCATGTGAACACAATAATAGAAAAGCTGACAGGATCGCTTTTCTAAATTGATGTGCTATCATTATCAAAACAGGAAAAATGAAGATATTTCTCCTACACCCTAACAAAAAGTCTACTACAGGCCATCAGAGAGTATACAGTACTGAAAGACGGAGACAGAAAAAAAGTGCCGGCACCGCATCGTCATAGCAATAGACATGGCAACGACAATAAAATACAGCAGAATCATAATTTCAATTGAAAAATTAAGAGTGCTACCACAACGAGTTTCTTCATGTTTACATGTGTATCAGGAAGTTGTCAAATACAGTACTGCAACAAGTGCAAGTATTTGACGACTCCCTGGTGTGCAATTCTGAGGACAATTTTTCTTCTTTTTTTTCAGCTCCAGATAGCTGTATTTTTCATTGCAAAACATTCCTGAATTGTTGTGTTTGTTGTTCAAGCAAAGGTGAGATGAGCCTGGTAAGAGCTTTGCGTGGCACATGAAGATCACACACAGGCAGTGACTTTGCGAGGATTTGAAAACGCACAACGCTGAGTTGAATTTGTGTTATTTCAAATAATTGTTTGTGATCACAGTACCACTTCGAGCAGAACTGAATCTTATCCACAAGCTTACCGACGGTCAGGCTGCCAACATGACTGAACAAATGATCCCTGCAAGCACCACACGGCAGACGTCCGAGGCCATGTCCATTGCCGGGATGTCCATCTCCAAAAAGAATTCCATCTTCGTCTCAATGCTACACTGCGACTCGTCGTAGAGTCGTACAGTCTACAGAGTCGTCGTACGAGCGTAGTCACGCGATCACTGAATAAACTATTTTTTGCGGGCAAATAAACTATTTTTTTGCGGGCAATATCGCATATTATTGCCCGCGGCGCGAAAGGTGCTGATTCGCTGGAGTACGGGCAACAATCACGTGCCATGTGATAAATACTTGTAATCACCTCGTACTGTAAACTACATAATATTCGAGGCTGATGAATATGCTCTATTTTTGTAGAGCGTACTACCAATATCAACTAGTGCGAAATCACACTCTGACGGTGGGAATATGCAGGTGGCCCCAGCGCTTCACGAACTTTTGCCATCGCTAACTTGCTGCTTATAGAAATCGCAAAAATAAATATATTGACGCGAATATTGGGCAGTGTGCAGTATCATCAATCTGTGTGCTTTCTTCATTAGACCGAGAAAAAGGGCAACATGTATGACTCAGCACACAGCGAGAATGGGCAGGAGCTGGATATGGCGTCTAATATCGCTGCGCCACCGTTCACCATCAAGCAAGTTGGGGTAAGTCGACCATAGTAAGACATTGCTTATCTCCTTTCTCCTGTCTTACCGGCAGTGGCAAGATGGAGAGCAAGAAGACCACTGATACGACAAACTGTCACTTTTGAAGAACTGGTTATCACAGCTCCACCCGATAAAGTAATAGGCATTCACTGTGTATGATAAGTTCTTCCCAGCTATGTAAGTTCCAATAATACGTATAGAATAAACACCGATGTCGTAGTGTTTATGGGAATATAAACACTGCTATAAAAACCTCGGCGTAGCCGAGGTTTTTATAGACAGCGTTTATATTCCCATAAACACAAGACAGAGGTGTTTATTCTATTTATACCTAGCTTCGTTTTTGGCTTGAAATACTGGTCCGAAATAGCTATTTTAGTATCCCAGTATACTACAGTATACTATTATGTGTAGGTAGCATTGCGTGTTCCAGTGCTAAGACCTATCTTTCAACCAACATCTGCATCAACACCCTGGTGGCTGGGTGGTCAAGATAGGTGCTTGGGAATCTTATGGTTACAGGTTCGATTCCTGCTGAAACTTCTTTCTTCTCTTCAATTATTTCTTTTTCAATTGGAGAGAAAATTTCTAAGTCCCTTGAAAGTTGAAAAGTTACAACCTCTAAGTGGGTAATATAGCAAAGTATATACCCCAAGTTAAAGTGGTGAATATGGAGATATATTCACCAGTTATAGATCACAGGAATTAGTGGGGGTTAATATGAGCTGGGTATAAATGCTATCAAAACCCTAGAAGTGAAATGGTGTTTTTGCCACAACTTGAATGTGCTGAGTGACCTTGTTATCAGACATGCCAGTCACACAAGCCAGGTAGCCCATGCCTGTCCCTACTGGTGAGCTGTCAAAGAACAGGGTGATACTTTGACTATTTTGGAACACAAAATTATTACACCATCATCAAGTTCCTTTTCGATGACGTTGATCTGTAGCCCACTACATTTTAAGTTAATTATGTTGTGACGTGCTGCTTATCTATTATAATGGGCGCGGCAGAAAATGGAGCAAGCTGCCGCAATGCGCTGTGGAAGTGCCGCATGTGCTGAACAAGATGCGTCCTTGTCACACACATACTCCGCCGTGGATTTGTGCAGAGATACCAGGGTTGCGCAGGGAACTGTCGCCACCCCCGCGGCCATAAAGCCAACACAGAGCGTGAGCAACTCAGGTCCACCAATATCACAAGCTGCAGCTTATGTCAACACCTGTGACCATGGAAACGGACGGACGGTACGTGTATACACGCATACCGGTATCTCTATTAGCAATGCTTTCCAGGACCGGGCACTGCCCGATTCTAGGAAATATCCGTGATGTATCATGCTAGCTACTCATGTATTGCGCATGTACTTCAAGTTATTATCACCCGTATAACGCCTATTGTTACGTTATACGCCTTGCTTCACGTGATTACGTCATGTCTCTATTGGACGCATGCACGCATCCATATTCTGGATTCATGTGTTCTTCTCCTTGCTCTTCTTCCTCACTGGAGAATGTAAATAATTAGTTTATATTATCTTGTCACCAAACTAGTTCCTGTTGTCTAGTAGTAGTGGTGTGCATGAGAACAACACAATCCGTAACTTTGAATCACTTACGTTTTGATGGGGAAGTGCCCAGAGATTTGGCATAATTATAACTCGTTCTGGTGTTGTGGTATTAATGCGTTCACATTTTTTATATCAATAATACGGTTAAAGCTCTATTCATTCATTCTTCATAATCACAATCACTAGCCAATAACGAGTTGTGTAGACACAGGAGTGGTGACAGAAAAGCCATGAATTACAGTACATAAGCGTGCATTGTAATATCACTGATCCCGCATTGACCGGATCATACCACACAGTACGGTGCATGAACTTCAGTCTCCAGCGAACAAATCTTTGGCAATACACACATCAGGCATCTTTTAGAAAAAAGTAATTGAAATAAGTCAAATATGCATATTAGTTTGACCTTCGCTTAAAGACCTTGCCAAGAACAAACAGCAGGTGCAGGATTCGTTAAGTCAGCTATATTTCTCTTCATTATCCTTGTGTTGTCTGCAGCGTGAAGCCGCTCCATTTCAGAATCCACTGTACGACTCCTGTTTAGGATAGTTCAATGTACGTCCTGTTCCATAATGTGCATTCTGCTTTGCTTGAGCCGTTCAGTTTGATCCTTCCCGTAACACATTTGCCCGCTGTAATGGGAGTAAACAAGTTCCTATCCCTCCTTTGTGCGGTTTTTCGTTAAACAAAAGGTTACAAATAAGATCTAATACTGTTAAGAGTGTTATACTGAAAACAGTTGTATGAAGGAACTGAGTGTAAACGGATATGTCGCTTGCTGATGGTGTGCTGCGGCAGTGTATCGAGGTATGCTCGAGATCGCAGTTCTTGTGTGGTGGTTGAATAAGAATCTACAAAACGATACAGGTAGCATAAGGTGAAATATTTTACATTAAAAAAGATTTGTTTTCTTGCCATCTTCATCTCGGCTCTCTCTAGTTACCATCAGATGGCATGAGTGTAGATGAGAGTCTGTACGACAACGCACGAGCACCAGCAACACACGGGAAACCAGCATCGTAAGCAAATGGCGAAGCATGAACTGCCAGCAAACACCGATACGAAGACTGAACGAATACGACGCAAAGCATATCCGGCCGATAACACTGAACCATGTACCATATATGGTGGACGCAAGAGAAGCACACGCATCTGTTAACCATACTATTTAATCATCACGGTACACGATGCAGACATACACCCTCAATAACACTGTACATGTGGTATCATTGTGCGTCAATTTATTATGGTTATGATTCCACAAAATTCTTCTTCTGTATGAATGTTATGCTCATTAAATGTCAGAGGAAGAATTTGTCTTGTGACTCAGCTCTCTTTTAGCAGTTCGGGCTCAGCGTTAAAGTTAAATCCTTAGTTTAGACGTTAGCAGTGCAATCTGCTGCACAATTGTTTTGAGAAACACAATACTGAAGCATCAGTAATAAAAGAACATAATACCATACTGTAGTCGTGAGTTCAAGGGACCTGCTGACCCACACCGTAATATGTCTAAACACATAGCTATCATAATACAATGATTGATCATTTACTCCACAGCACATCCATTTGAATACCGTCCATACTTGCGTACCGGCTGGTAAAGTGATCAACACCATCCATACGTGTCTCAGTAGAATTGTATAATACGTTTGCCCGTATTATTTCTGCAGCGTTTCGCACTCTGTACGTCAATTACCTGCACATGTATCCTACTTTCATTATACAACTCAGCAAGATTCCGCGGTTTATTTGTTGAAGTCAATAATTGACAGTGCGTGTGTTTTAGGACTGTTTTGATATACATATATTTACTTCTGTGTTTCTTATTCTGCTGTTGCATGCGAATTAGCACCTCATTGACCCCGGTCGTTCCTCAGTCTTCTTTCCATTTGGCCTAAGCGAAGACTAGCCAAGGTTGCTTGTCGATGTCCACGTGAAAAGGCTGATTATAATAATACCACGTGTCTCGTCACTTGAAAAGCGATAGAAATTTCTTTCCATCTCTGCCTCTATACATGCAACTATTGGCTCGGATAGTCACTCTGGATGAAGCATGCAGGAGGAAACATAATATTCTTTTTTCTTTTTTTGTACATGCCCCCACGCCCGCACACATACATGCACACACACACACACACACACAGGTACACACACACACGCATACACGCACACACACACACGTACTTACATACAATTACAGCTGCTTTTTTGCTGAAGGGATGATAGCCAATAAGCTATGCTAGCCATAACAACTTGTGGTAGCATAAGCAAGTACACCATTCAACAGATTGCCAGGTTGAGGAATTGACCACCACTAATTAGGTTAGCCTGATGTACACCTCACAGTTGCTTGGAGTTGCTTTGTCATACACACAGACAAACACACACACACACATACAAACACGCGTACACCTGTACTGTGCTGTAGAGTCACTGCCGCAAAAGGGTCACATGATCCCATCACCGGGAAACTTACTTGAGAAGAGAGAGAGAGAGAGAGAGAGAGAGAGAGAGAGAGAGAGAGAGAGAGAGAGAGAGAGAGAGAGAGAGGGAGAGAGAGAGAGGGCACGACGCCCGGTGACGCTCCAGGTGCATGGGTAGTCGCATCCGCTTGCCGCAGAGGCGGATGGGACGCATACACACACACACATACATGAATGCACAAACACACGTGTCACAGTCTGTTAGGCATACAAGTCAGCATGCTTACACGTCAGGCGGTTTGTAGATGCTGTATTTTGGAGGTTGGTTACCTGTGGTTGCCTCTACATACTACCGGAATGAGGATGTTATGCGTCTATTCCGCTCAATAGTGTTTCGTATGCATTTTGATCTTGCATCCTCTACTTGCGAACGCATATTACCGCACCTACAACCCAAACGCATGCAGTGCAGACGCGTGAAAGGGGGAGAAGGCCTCGCTACTTAGGGCGGTAAACCCAAGAACCATTCTGTTCCTTCTGTGGAGACCTTCCGAGCGTGTTTCTTGTGTGAGAGATATCACCTTGGAATCAAGCACCGCGTGCGGACTCTCCAGTGGTTGAAGAGTCACCTTTACAAGTTGTTCAAGCCATCGTTCAGCTCTGTCGATTAAGATGGTGCGCGATTCTATTGCTTTGCTCGTCTTCACGCTGATTACAGCAGCGATTGCAACCAGTGAAACTAATCCAACAGGTATGAAATACTGTGCTTTCCCGTTGTCTAGCGTTATCATTACATATACACACTTCAAAAACATTACAAAGATAAAACGAAAGTGCTCTTCTCTGATGAGAAACCAGAATACGGGGTGTAGATCTGGTGTATTTGTGTTGGCTGGTGATTGATTAAATACCATGAAACAATGAGTAAGAACTGGGTTGTACACATAGGCTGTGCACATTTACCTACTAGAGTGCTCAGTACCTCTCATGGTCAGAGTGAAGTGCACAAGAATGTACTAAGCAATGTAAGGGACCATTTGTTGTATTCATTAGTTTGTGGTACTAAGTGTAATGGGTAGCCGAGCGATAGGCGCGGTGAAATCAACAAGAATTAGTTTTATTCTACTTCTTTCAGGTACACACCTGAGATATAATTATTAGTGAAAGAAGAAGCGGCAAAACAAATAACTTTCTCTCCGGTGCTCAACTAGAGGTTGACTACTTCTTCTTCGAGTTAGCTTTCGTTGCTATCTAATCTACTCTAATTAAAACAGATATGCGCAGCAGCTTTTATGCAGCAGACGCCGTACGCTTATATGCGGAGATACACTAAAATTAATATACATCAGGTCGTTCCGTATTGCTTCCGTATTACTTCCGTATTAGCCAGGCAGGGATACTACACTAAGTACTTGCAAACAGGAAATTATTGTTTCCAACACAGAGTTTCACGGTTCGACAACCAATCAGACTCGGTAGACAACTAGGGAGGATATTGGAATCAGTGCAGGCTTAGAGGTAAGCAGAGAAGACTGGGGGAGATACATTTGAAAATGCCAACTTAGTACATGTGGCTTGTGCTACGCGCGTCAACGAATGAGGTGCCAACGAACGTCCAGCCTGAAAAGCTTAGAACACCAGAACCTCAAGTTAATAATAGTAACGACTGTGTTGTGTTTCTGCTAAATTTTGGAATACTGACGACTCCGTAAGAATTGTTTCTAACACCGCAGCCAGATTGCTGAAAATAACAATGTACCAGGCTAACCCCTTGGAAACAACGTTCTTGAGCACAAGACTCTACTGTACAGGTCATGGAAGAACACCTCTGTGGGTTGTATCTATATCACTATACATGAAAATGAATAAGGTGTAGGTCCATGCTACATAGTTGGCCCAATTCAGGGTCTATGGTTGGGTGTGAGGGTGATTGCGTGTGACGGTGTGTGTGTGTATATAATTATCCGTGATATTAAAGGGGAAGTTAAGGCAAAAATTAAAATTTCACCAGTTGTAGTCTTCGGGGTGCTGAGTCGAATGGTCTTGGTCCGAGAAAGCTAAGGCGCTCCCTTCCTACTTGAATCCCAATCGAACTCGCGCACTTCCACCGAAACTGGGTGACTGCGCCCTACTAGGTGGGGATTTTGTATGCAAAATGTCACTAAAAGCGCCATTTCGTTCTTATAAAGGCACGGATGACCGAGATTGGCCCATATGTTGTAGTCTTTTGGACGCTGAGTCGACTGGCTTTGGTCCGAAAAGGCTGCGATGCAGCGTTCCTCATTTATTCCCAATCGAACATGGTTGGACAAGCGGTCACGTGCTCCTGGGTGCCCAAATCACCTGGTCACCACGCCAGCAGGCGACAACTTTCACACCAAGGTTCAACTCGAGTGACAGGACTGCACCCAAAAAAGGTCAAACAGGCTAGTAAGTTGTACCAAGAGTCCATAAACAAGAGTATGCAACTGTGATCTCTTTTCTATGGGCCAGGTACTAGCTAGGTGCGCAGCGCGCTGCCTTCATTACATCATTCAGCTGCAGTCCGCGTACTGTGGAAAATCAAACACCGCACTTTCCCTCTGGTTTGAAATGAACTTTCGTACGGAACTGGAGTTCACGCGCCAGAATTCGCGTAGGTACTGGGACGAATCGAGCAAAAACGGATGGGCTCGTACGAGAATTTGTGAGATTGAATGCATGCTTTCAGAGCGTGATGAGGTTAGTTACGTAATGAAGGCAGCGCGCCGCGCACTGGGCCATAACCACAGTTGCATACTCTTGTTTATGCACTCTTGGTTGTACCCTGCAGGCACGGTGACCAGGTGACTGGCGTACGCAGGAGCACGTGACCGCTCGTTGAACCATGTTCGATTGGGAATAAAGGAGGAACGCTGCATCGCAGGATTTTCGGACCAAAACCAGTCGACTCAGCGTCCAAAAGACTACAACATATGGGCCAATCGCGGTCATCCGTGCTTTTATAAGAACGAAATGGCGCTTTTAGTGACATTTTGTATACAAATCCCCATCTAGTAGGGCGCAGTCACCCAGTTTCGGTGGAAGCGCGCGAGTTCGATTGGGATTCAAGTAGGAAGGGAGCGTCTCAGCTTCCTCGGACCACGACCATTCGACTTAGCAGCCCGAAACCTACAACTGGTGAAATTTTAATTTTTCCCTTAACTTCCCCTTAACGTGTACACATGTAGATACATATTTGTTTTGTATGTGTACGTGTGTGTTCAGTATCATGGACGGACTGCGGAGCACCACAAGGCAAAATCCTGATGACTGCGGTTTTGCAGGAAACGAGGTATGCAAAAGCCCGAGAACAATGTCAGAATCTCAATGGAGATCTTGCTACCGTTCAATCCACGCTGGAAAGAAATTGTGCCAGCGCAACACTGTATAGCGTGAGAACGTGTTCTTGTTGCGATTCACGGGGTTTTTATGAGTGCACTCGTGTGTCTGGAAATGGATCATGTGGCTGTGATACATGGGTAGATCTCACTGGAACAAACTTTTCTAATGGACAATTTCAATCCTGGACCTGGTACACACCATTCTCCAACACAGCATCAAGTAGCATAGCCTGGTTAAGCGGCTATCCAAGACAAACCAGTGACTGGTATCTTGTGTTTTACTTCCCCGAACTTGGAGGCTTTGGCAATTATCCTGACTTTCCACGTCCCTACCTGTGTCAACAATACTATCCACCAGGTGAGCTGAAAACTTTAGAAATGATGTACAGATCATGCCTGCGCCCTCCATTCTGCACAGGATGAACAAAGCTTGCATGTAAGCCAATTGTCAATGCTGCAAAACAAATAATTAACTATCGTTCCTGATTTCCTGGTGTAATCATATTATGCACTGGTTGTTTTATGGCCTCATTTGCATGATGGTAATGCGATATATCACAGCCAGAATAAGGAAATGATGATTATTCACTCATTACCAGGGTCAGCAGGTAGATTCTACAATATCTTAGGCCGTTCCATGTCACAGTATTATCATGCAACCAGGTAAGGGGTGTAACTATTAATTGTTCTATGCAGTGTTTTGACTTGAATCAGCAGTAGGCATGGGCGGGTAATGCTAGCATTATGGCTGGCATTATAGTCCCTTTTTACAGGTGGCATAATGCTGGCATTGCAAGCATAATTGCCGGTCGACAACGGTGTCATGCATGAAGCTGGCTAGGTCCAGTTCCGAAAATCGTGTATCTGAACCCGTCCGGCTTCGTCTGGAGACTTAAAACGTTGCAAATCAACCATCTTAGTGGATTGTTTCAGACAACATGCTCACTGCTGTTTAAGTTTTTTTTCTTTTTCTACGCTTTGGCCTTGATCCAAGACCGCCTTCTTAATTCCAACTTTCAAATTGGCATTATGGAGTAGTGTGAGCATTAAAAGTGGCATTATATCCTCATTTATATAAGCATTGCCTTTGGCATTGTCGCAGCAAATAACTAGCATTACCCGCCCATGCCTAATCAGCAGAATAGACTCTGGTGCAGAGCTAATAATGCTCAGCTTGTGCTTGCCTTGGGTGCGCTCACCTTCCCCTCCTATGGTTTCATATACAACTATGTTATAATTATGTAACTTATAACCTTCCACGTTGGAAGGCCGTTGGAGTGCGCACCCAAGACGTGCTAGAGCAGATATCCAGAGAGTTGTAGACCGTCAGTACACTCGATCCGTTTTGGGCAATGTTCTCGCTTGCGCTGATCGTCAAGTATCTGTCGGTGTTAGTGGACATTATAGCGAAACTTGTAGTGCCTTTGTCTTGTTCTTTATTAAAATTATTCAACAGAATTAGACTTTGGTGGAGAGCCAAACATTAATTTACAAGAAGAGAAGGACCAAAGAGCTACAAGTTACGCTATATTATCCACTAACACCACCAGTTAGTTCCTTGAAAATCAGCTCATGCGATAACATCGTACGACACTGACCAACGGTACTGCCGTTCTACGCCTTACTGGCAATCAGCTCTAGCACATCTCGGATGCCCACTCCAACAGACTTCCTTCCTGGAAAGTTCAAAGTTATATACTGTCAACTTTGCGTATAACGACGCTCGGCCGGGCATCAGAAAAGTGTCCTTATTCGCGAAGTGTCGTTATACCCGAAGTCCCATTAGGCCATCATTTATATATCTATGTTTCGCGTCAGTTCAACTTCCAGGATTATATGCGAGAGGTGGAAAAAATAAAAAAGTTGCAAAATAATAAAAAGGCTCATCAGAGGTGTATGCACTGTACATGGCACTCGTGCATGGTGTACAGTGTACATTCGATAGAAAAATCGTACATCAAAGCACAACATCTGGGTTATCAGCATGAGTACTTCAAGTAAATATTCACTTTGGACAGAGGAGGCAACCGTTCGTGCCTATGCTTCGCTGGATTATTGCACTCAGACTTCAGGAGCGGTGCAAAGAGCTGCGGAACGACGCATCCTCTCAGCTTGAGGCGATCAGTGTCAAGCTGAGGTCTGGTGTAAGCTCATAGAATATTGCTCCCAGATGCCGAACAAACCAATTACCAAAGCTGGCCTAGAGGCCATTTCTGAATCCCAGCTTCGCCGTATCGCAACCAGTCCACACTGATGACTCGCACGATCGTACACTCCCTGTGCAGGTTCGATTATTTTCCGAAAAAATCAAAACGTATGCGTGCGGACGACGCAAAACATAGCTCTAAAAAATGATGGCTTTATATGTATACAGGTAGTATGGACTTTGCTCTGGGCATGGGAAATCGGTCGTTATTCGCGAATTGTCGTTATATCCGCAGTCGTTATTAGCGAAGTTGTATGTATGTATGTATAACTCATAATCACAAGGTGATCGTAGAGGCATTAATCAGCGAGAGAATTGTGAATGATGTCTCTGAATCCAACTCTATCGTGTGCTGCATGAGAGAGAGAGCATGCAAGGGAAGACCCGTCCAACTTTTAAAGTTAGAAATCCATGATGACGCGGGCCTTCCTCTTGGTCGAGATCCAGGAGTTGATCCTTGCAAAAAGGGCTTGGAGAAAACGTCATGTCTCGTAACATGGCCAAACCACATCAACTTAAATTTCTTGACTTCGTTCGCTAGCCGCATCCTTGCTCCGATGACGTCATTGATTTTTTCCAGGATAGATTGGTTGGTACGCCGGTCGTGGTATGTTACTCCTAAGAGTCGGCGGAAGCATTTCATCTCGAAGGATGAAATTCTTCTCATTGATGAGGCAGATAATGTCCAAGATTGGCATCCGTATAAAACAGTCGCTAGCACAATAGACGTAACAAAACGAAATTTAGTAGGCAAAGAAAGTGATGGCGATTCCCAAATGAATTGAAGCTCAATGATCTTTTGCTTCCCTAGTGCTAAGCGTCTTCTTATCTCCACATCGGGCTTGCCATCCGACGTGATTACGGCACCTAAGTATTTAAACTGGGATACCTCTTCTATTCGCTCATTGCCTAATTGAATGCATCCCATATCACCACCACCCTCCGGCGCTGCCATTGACTTGGTCTTGGAAGCATTGATCTGCATGCCTAGTCTTGTTGCACTCGTATCCACGCGCTCGGTCAGGTCCATCAGCTCTTCCACAGACGATGCAATTAGATCTATATCATCCGCAAAACGTAGGTTGGTCACGCACATGCCGCCGATACATACTGACCCATCAAACTCCTACAAAGCGTCAGACATGATGTACTCCAGGAATACGTTGAACAGACAAGGCGAGAGTAAACAGCCCTACCTGACACCCACTGACGTGGTGAACCAGTTGGTGAAAGTGGATCCAACAACGATAGCAGCTTCAGTAGTAGCGTAAAGCGCTTCAATCAGGTCCACAATTCTTGCTTCGATGCCATGCGCTCTCATAATCTTGAATAGCGCTTTGTGCCAAACCCTATCAAAGGCCTTACGGAAATCGATGAAGCAATGATACACAGCCTGCTGATGGTCACGGTACTTTTCAATTAACATTCTGAGGTTGAAGATTTGCTCCACTGTGCTTCTTCCCTTCCGGAACCCTGCTTGCTCGTCCGCCAGCAAACCCTCCACTTTCGGCTGCAGGCGCTTCAGCAAGATCCTCAGTAGCACTTTGCTCGGATGACTGATGAGGCTCACTGTCCTGTAGCGAAGTTGACTGTAATAATAATAATATTATTATTATTAGAAGAAGCTAAAGAAGCTAAATAATATTATTATTATTATTTTTTTTCACTAGTTTGAGGGAAAGAGACAAACGGGAAAAGTCTGAAGAAAAAATTGACTGTCACCACCAGGACTCGAACCAGGGACCCTCGCTTGTAGCTAGCGATGCTCTAACCACTGAGCTATGGTGTAGTCGTCATCCCAGCAGAGACTGTTCAACTTTTTCTTCAGACTTCGTAACTCACACTTCCTGTGAATCCACACAGGCGGGTGGGACGCAGCCCTCACTGTACCCACACACTTCACGTACACTCTAGCACGCGGGGAGCCCCAAGTCATAACATCTTCACTAGTTTGAGGGAAAGAGACAAACGGGAAAAGTCTGAAGAAAAAATTGACTGTCACCACCAGGACTCGAACCAGGGACCCTCGCTTGTAGCTAGCGATGCTCTAACCACTGAGCTATGGTGTAGTCGTCATCCCAGCAGAGACTGTTCAACATTTTCTTCAGACTTCGTAACTCACACTTCCTGTGAATCCACACAGGCGGGTGGGACGCAGCCCTCACTGTGCCCACACACTTCACGTACACTCTAGTTATTATTATTATTATTATTATTCCCTCAAACCAGTTAATAATATTATTATAATCACTAAAAATTCGACGAGGAGACAATAATTTTAATATGGCAATAAGTAGGACGAGCTGAAGCGACATGTGGACTACTTTATTAACAATGTAAGCGATGGAGACGATGCAAGAAACAACCTAAAGGGTAAGGAAAAATACATGTAAGAAGAAAAAGGGCAATGGAAAAAATAGATGATTCGAACAAGTTTTCGTACAACACTCTTCAGGAATCACCGTTGTACTAAAGAACAAAATGAGAACAAAGGAAATAATATAGCAATCAAGGTAGGGTGACACGATACAATGACAGCACTAGAATATCGAGGTGCGATTTCTCACAAAAGTGTGCAGAAAACAAGGGTATACAAGTAAGAACTAAGCGTGACAAGTGTGTATCAGCAACAAAAAACAAAAAAGTGAGAACGAATGATAATAATAACAATAATAAACAAGAAGGTGACAAAACACATTTAGGCACAAGTGGCAACAACGTTGCCACACTACACAACAGAACATTATTTGAACAATTTTAGGGTAATAACACTATCTTTCTGGACACACAAATTCGGCTTATGAATGCGCTGACAAACAGCTTCCAAACCTTGTAACTGCAAAAGATAACCATGACGAGCACGGCACAAAACAGAAAAACAGGAATCAGAATAAGTACGACAACAGTCAGTACTAGAAACCAATGATTGTATACTGAAGACTTGTTATTACGAGACGGACGCACACAATCTCGACTCACGCGCACACCCTCACACTCCCTCTCACCCTCACTCAGCTCACCTTCTCCCTCACTGTCCGAATCAGAACCTGCTCCGTCATCCACCGCGGTTTGACTCTCCTCCTCACTTGCATCGTCCTGCGTCTCACCTTCACCACCCACGCCAACCCTGAATGCCGTTGCCTTCACGTCAG